ATGTCATTATTATTCGTTATCTTCGACTTCCTCATTACCAATGCCTACGCTATTTGCCAAACTTCTTCACATTCGGCTATCTATTGAGGTTTCTTAGGATTTAAAACGAATCTGATTGAAATTTCATTAATTTTTTTACTTTTTGCATACTTGGAAACGATAATTATTCCAGCTGCGTCTAGCCCCACGGCTTCTCCCATCGTATTCAAGGTTTTATACATTAATTCCGTACTGGTGTCTTGAGACACGCTATATCTACTAAAGTCACCTATACTTTTCAGATGCAAATAAATTATTCATAATAACTTATTTTGAAACAGAAAAAATACAAATTACGATTATTTTTAATTCATTCATTTTTAAAAGTTTCACTTTTAATAAAATTATATATTTGTATAACAACTATTTTAATTAATAAAAATTATACTTTGAACAATATTTATGAATCTTAAACTACTTGGTTGACCCATTTGATAAATGCATATAGTATTATAATATAACTATTTTAATTATGTAAATTAATATTAATTTTAATATCACGACATTTGTGCATTAAAAATTTGAAGTAATATCATTTAATAATTGCTTTTCAATTTTCTGGCTATATGCGTGTCCGTGTGTGCGCGTGCGTGCGTGCGTGCGTGCGTGCGTGCGTGCGTGCGTGCATGCGTGCGTTTAAAATCTTATAAAACGGTTAAATTTATATTAATAATTTTAATCTATAGTCAAGAAATAGTTAACATAATCCTGTTGACCAAAGCGAACTTGTTCAAGCGTCTAGCACAACTCAATATTTAATTTACAATTCCTTATATGTTTAGGCATAATTTGAAAAATTAACTACTTGCCCTAACAGTAGTATTATGAATCATCATTACATTAAAATCAATGGAGTCTAAATATTCATTTTTTTGAAGAAAAGAAGAAGAAAATTTTTATTCTATTACGTGTAAAAGTTCTGTATGTCATTCTTGAAGAATACAAATCTTAAAATAAAAATGATTTAAATCGCTTGAATAAATTACACGATACTTATATTTAATTATATTATTATATTAATAATATTTATATAGATACAATGTTGATGCTCGATCCTGTAATATTAAAAGCTTGTAGGATTAAATATTAAATTAATCAAGCATTTACCAATAAGTAATCCCACGTAACTGACATTTATTTAAAAAATGGGGATGAGCATACAAATTTATTTAAAGTATAATTTATAACCTTATTTTTATAAACGTAAGTAATTCTTACTAGGAAGATAGTTTTTTTTTTTTTGTTTAATAGCTTATTACTTTATACTATAAAGATTATTAAAATTATAAAAATATGAAATGTAAAAATATTTATTCATGCGTATACATTTATGACGAATATTTAAGGAGATTTTATAGGCTTAGTAATTCATAATTATTTATAAATACAAGCAATTAAGGGAATAAAATTATATCTTTGGAAATGCTTATGGGGCCATTAAATAAATTCTTTTTTTCTAGTTTTGCGAAGGTCATATTCAACAAAATATGTAATTTATAATGTAATGATATAATTTACTTTTTATGCCATCTACATTTATCTTGCATCATATTATTTATCTCTGCACTGTTCTTTTGGTGATTGCTTCCTTCCTCTTTTTGTCATCGTTGAACCGAAGTGAGATACGTATTATTATCAATACATACATCACGCTCCCTACATCTGAAATATTTCTTATAATTAAGATATATTGTACGAAAATTTTAAGAAAATCTCGTGTCGACAAGTTGTACATTATTTCGAATGGAATGTTCGTATATTCTTGATAAATTGTCAAATTTAAGTAATTTTCTTTGGATGATGATTATTATTATAATACATATTATTTTATACTGTTTATACTGTATGAGGATTTATGAATTTCTATTTCATTTATGCCCATAGTTTTTTGATCGACCAATAAATGTTAAAATTGAGAAGCCTATGCTATCACAATTATTATTAGTAATAATAATTGTATCGACTTTAAAAATAAAATAATTCATGCACTTTTGATTTATTCATGTTTACTAATTATGATATAATTATTAGTAGTCATATGAAAGTAATACAACACTTATATAATAAATAAAATTAAAAATACATACATTTTATTTAAAGAATGGAGAAGAAAATCTATAAAAGATTTATGTTAGACGTAAACTTCCACTTATTTACAACACAACCAATTATTTAATACAAAAAAATTTTTATGCATATTACAGTGGAAAAATTTTTCTCTTCAAACATTTTATTGTTAATTTTGCAACGGCTCTACGCTGATTATCTACTTCTTTCTTAGGAATCATACAATACAAATAGTATTATTTGGATTTTAAATGACAATCGTTATTTATTCATTTTACACTTAGTGCAAAATTACATTATAATCTTATAATGTGATAATTAAAATCTTTTTTAAACTGTGTATTTTCGATAAATAAATGTATTTTCGATAGAAAAATAAAAGTTTTCCAAATTAATTGTACAATGCACATTATATATAGAATTACATTTAAATATTTATTCCATCAGAGTATTTGCATATTTATAGTTATATTTTATTGCGATATTTAAATGTTAGATCTATCGATATAAAAGTATAAGTAATAAGTCAAATTCTAGAACATTGTGGATTTGCATCGTTTTATAAAGTTCTGTAAATTAGATTAAAGTTAATTTTTTATTATTAAATTCGATTTTTATAATTTTGTATTTTATGCAAAAGTTTAAAGATAAATATTATTACGATAAAGTCATTATTGTAAAAATTATTATAAAAATTGTTGTATTTATAAGGATTTTCAATAATTTCATTTTTAACAAGTTTATAATATCATAACAATGAATTGTCTACCTGAAATCAATCCAAGTCAGTTAAACTTTTACATTGTTAATTAAAAAAAAAAAAAAAAAAAAAAAAAAAAAAAAAAAATTATTTTAATTTTTCGATTAAGTTGATGCAACAAAATCTTTTTTTTAATAAAGCAAATTATTATTATTAGTAAAAGCATGGGATAAGTTTAACGTTAATTCATAATACTAATTGTTCTAGTTTATAAAATATTTATAATTTAAGTAAAAATATCGCGTTATAAAAGATGAGAATCTTCAATGTATAAATTTTGAAAAAGTCTTCACAATAATGCATATATATATATATATATATATATATACGATATAGATAAAACTTTTGAATGAAAAACTTTTCTAAATGAATAACTGATATAAATAAATATGATTTGTTGTTGATTGAAATTATTGTCGTTTAATTGAATTAAAGAACAATTAGAAATTACATTTCAGACATATGGCAGATATTAATAAAATGAGTTGAATATGGAGTCGATCAAATCTCATGGCATGGAGTGTCAAAGAAAGTAGTAATGCAGGGCAAGGAGTGGTGAAGGTATTTCAAGGATCGTTGTCGAAGATAACAGTCAGTTCGACAATCGTACGAGTCAAACGATGTCACTTGGGTTACCACATTTGCTAAAAACAATAACATATAACCCGTCACATATAAAATGTGAAAGTTTCAGTGCACGCGACATCCGCTAAAGCACATTTTCAGTTTAATCACACTTTATATTTCTGTCCTATTTTTACTCTGAAGAATTATTTATATTAACTTTGTTCGAATTTATGTCATTCGTTATTTGGAAAAGAAATATCGATTTTGTATATTTAATTGATGTTAAAGTTTCTAATAATGAAGCGATAGTACATAAATGCCGAAATAAAACAATATTTTTTTATTAATTACAGATAAATTATGTTTTTTTTTTTTTATTTCAATCATACATAAACGTCTCGTATATCTGTATTTATGTGTATATCACATTCGCATTAAATAATTTAATGTATACAAATTTTATATTGCTAATTAACATTTTACCGAACTAGTTTGATAGGTTTGACTAGTTTGAAAATAATAATATTCTTTACTTCAATTCGTTTATTCGTGTTATACATACTGTATCATAATATAGTGGTTTATTTAATTAATTAATAATTTTATGAATTAATAATTTTCACACATTTTCTATATTTATTAGATTAATTTACGATACAATCAATTTAGAATTGTTGGATCGCTATTAAATTATTAATTTTAAAATAAAATAGCAAAAAGAAAAATATAAATATCATATTCGTGATATTAAATTACAGTAGCATAAAACTAATTTTTGGCTCACAAGTTCATCAGTTTTATTATTCTATCTTGATTTAATGTGTCTGATAAGGAAGGAATGAAAAAAAGTCCAGAGATTAGTCATGCTCCAATAGTACCGATAATGTCAATGTTATTTTTTCAAAAAAATTTTCAATACATTTCCGAACTAAAAAATAGATATCTAAAAATGTAAAAAATATTATTTAATAGATTATTTGATTATTGATTATATTATTATTATAGATTATCCATTTCGGTAAGTTTTTACAAACTTCTATTTCTAATATCAATGAATAGGACTATGATTTTATGTTGTTCACATAATATTCGTCTTTCAATCTTTTTAAACCAGTACTGTATTACTTTCTTTTTTTCTTTTTTTTTTTTTTTTAACAAAAATGTATTATAAGCTAGAACTGAAATATTAGAGAAATTGAAGCATATGTACGTTTATATTGTAATTGTTTAAATATGTATATAATAACACGTCTGGATTTACCGTCACATTACATAACAACTACATAATATATATATATTAATAATTTGTGAAAATATATAATTAAATACAAAATAATGATGGCAACTGTCAAATGCAGACAATCAATTATCATTGATTAATGTTGTAAAACGTAAATGTCAAATGTAAAACAATTTGCTCTACTAATGTTGAAATAAATTATTTTTTATAAAATTTTTAACTTTAAATTATGGAATTAAGAGATTTTCTTTATCATAGATATTTAATTTATTTAATTTATGTGTATCTTACCTATTACACAGTTTCCTTTCATTGTTATTATTGTCGCTATGTTTAATTGGAATTATTTAGTATAAATTATGGCTCACTAGTCTGGTGTTTTAAATATTCCTGGAGTTCTATTTGTTCGTTAATACCTACAAAATACGTAGTTACCAAGCCCTTTGGTTTTACCCAGACTTTACCTCTAAGATGACATACGATTCCTTCGTCTTCTAGTAATTGAGCTGTTTCTTTGGTTACCTATGTTGGTGGAATATTCAGAATATTCAAAATATTATCTTACGTTAATATCTGTAGATATCATAAATTTATATATAATATATATGTTCTAAAACGCTGGACAAACAAGAAATTTCATTAATATGTCGCTCTTCAAAAATTGATTTTTAAAATGAAAATGTTATATTTCAATTATTGACGAAGATTAGCTCTTCATAGACGTGACAATGGCAATAAGTAAATATTTATACATCATTACCATTAATTATCTCAATATATATATATATATATATATATATATATATCAATAAATTCATAGTTAGTGAAATGTTTTTTTCTCAAAAACACATAAATAGAAATATTATTCTTCCGTATAAAGTTAATTTAATGATTGTTTATACCTGTATTTTTCCAGGCTCACCAGTGGTATCCATTCTTGATGCCATATTCACAGCATCACCCCAAACATCGTAAAGAGGTTTTTGTGCACCAACTACTCCAGCAGTTACTTCACCATGTGATACTCCGATTCTCAACCTGATTGTTAATAAAATTATGAAATAAATTAAAGCAAAAACTTCTTATTCAAGTAAAAAATGTCTAATATCAAAGATGAAATAATAACAATGTAGGTAATATATTGAAAGTGAGTGCTTTTAAGTGAAATCAAAAAGAAAAGCTTATAATATAAAAAATTGGCTTAATGTGTAATTAAAATTTTCTAAATCGAAAATTTGTTTATGAACAAGGAGAAACATATTACCTAAATATATTACCAATTTCATAATTATACCAGTCCTTGACCTTTCGACTTGCATAACGAGAGCTTAAATATTTTCAAACTTACATAAGCTTAATTGTAAAAAGAATATAACAATATAAAATTATTTAAATTGAGTCCAAATTGTTTATTATGAAAATATATATTTCAAATAAAAAAACTTAATTGTATAATAAATACTGTATTACTGGTAAGGTTTAGCCGATTGTATTTTTATATTTTCAAGAATTGACATCATTTCAGCTGCAAATTGAACCATAACATGAACTGTATTATATTTTGATTCCAAGTCGCTTATATCATGACTGTGAGTGGAATTTCTTCTCGATATTTCTAATCCGCAAACTGCCATATACGTCGTACCTATAATTAATTAAGTAATAAAAAAATCTGATAACAATGTCGATAATTATATTATGATTTTTCAACCTGCAATTTTTATTTTTTCTATTCTGCATAAATAATTTGGGTCAAACAATAGTTTGTCAAATTGACAAATTATTTCATTAAAGTCAAGTAAAATATTGCTTTCGTCAATTAATAAATCTGTTAAAGTCGCAAACATTACAGCCACATTGCTGTGGGCTTCGTGATAAAGCGCATTTTCTTCCGTTCTATCCATATTCAAGTAAAAGTCAGCTAGAAATTAAATTTTCAACAATCAGAGTGCATACAAACGATTAAATAAGTCTCTATTATTAATTATAAATTAATTATATATATATATATATATTTAAATTTATAGTTAATAGTAGTGATTTATTTAATAATTTATATAAGTATTTACGACATTTAGTATCGTACGATGTGGCATTGATGACAATTATATAGCGTATACATACAATAACTAAATAAATAATAACTAATAAATTGTAATAAAAAATTAACTAATAAATACATAATAAACTTCTATTTATAACCTTATAGATTATTGTATTATATAGTGTATAATCTTAAATTTAATCGTACCAACGTGTTCTGGGAGAATATTACGTAATAATAATTTATTTGCATTTCTAGTATAAAAAGCTTCATCTTGTTCTTTTGTTAATTGACGTTTCCACTTATAGTCAAGTCTATTGAGATATTCTACCTGAAATGATTTACGCATTGCATAGATACTTTTCATTATTTATTAAATATTTACCTGACGATCAATTAAGTGCAAGGAAATCGTTAAATATATTATTGTTAAAATATGAGCAGGTCTTGTTCCAAGATGAGGACTCCATGTTTCACGGCTAGACTACATTAAAAATTTATTTAAAATAAAAATAAATAATGACTAAATATTAATAAAAAAAAAATATATATATATACATATCAATACCTGATATATAAATGATCTATAATTCCAAACGTTCCATGAATAAAAGGTCGCGATTGTTATCGCAGCGCAAAATTTTAATAGAAAATGAATTCTTAATAACAAAAAAGTTATTAAAATAGCTAATGAACAAGTTTCTGTTAATTGCTAGAATAATGAATGAAATATAAGCTAAGATAACTCTAGAATAACAAAATAACAAATAACAAAATGTTATAGTTTAATATCGTTTTTAACAATAAATATAAATCCATGATTATAAAACTTATTATCAACTTTATAATTATGCAATATGCATAAATCAATTATTATTTAATGATATTTACTACTTGATAATTTTACTATGGTATAAAAAAAGTAATATATAATCACATTTTCATCATACATTTCTATCGAATGCAACCTCCGATTATACATTGTAAATTATTTATAGCTATAGATTGTTTAAAATATTTTTAGAAAAATTTTATCTTTAATGCGAAAAATCGAATAACAGCTTAAGAAAATATTTAAATTTAAATATCCTAGCATATGGTTAGAGATATTATAATATTTAATTATCGATCTTCGTTACGTCGTGTAAGAAGATTTTTTTTTTTAAATGTGCAGTTCAACTTAATTGAAGAATTAATAGAAGTAAAATTGATTTCCAAGATAAGTAAGTAAATCATTTTGTATTACCCATAAAGTAAAATTACGTAATAAAAGTATGAAATTAATGACTAAGAATGTTAAATAGTTATATTTTGAAAAAACACGAAGATAATCGGTAAAGAGATGGGAGTTTTTTCATAATTATACGTTGATTCGTCAGTTTCTTCAGATTAATAATACAACTATTAAAATTCTTTCGCAAATTGTAATTTATTACCATAATTATAATTACGGCATTGCTTCCATAAAAATAGAAACATTGAAAGTAAGAATGTAGTTCAGAAAAAATAAACTACATCTATGAGTATAAAATATAAACTGTGCATAATGATATTAATGGGCATAAATAACATGGGTAAAAGATAGAAAGATGGAATGAGGAGAACAATTCTTTCTATGATCAAATAACAGTGTAACATTAATTTATGTATTAAAATTTAATTGTGAAATATTGCATTCAAAATTTTAAAAAAATAATAGCAAATTTTTATTTTAATTGTAATGTCTTATTCATTTATACGTTAAATTGTTTATTTAAACCGATAGTTTTCATTTTCGAATAATATTATAAAACTATTGTAAACTTTTAATAAATAATAAACTTTTAAGAAATAGGTCAAAGTAATCTCATTACAGTTAAATTATCTTACCCATGGAGTTAAAACACATTTTTTGTCGAGTACTTCAGATTCTGAAATACTTGATGTCACATTATTTTCCTGATATGAAATATCGTATTTACAATCAATCTATAATAATCATATATAAATTAAGTTTTTTTTTTTTTTTTTTTTTTATATATAAATTTTACTATTATATTATTCGCGCTTATTAATATTTACCAGAAAATTAAAGACAGTTGTCATAGCTGTCATTGCAGTAATTATAAAGTACAAGATGATTCTAAGAATTTCATTCCAAATGACCTAAATTCAATTATAATTTGTTAAACTTTTTTAAGATTTACATTCTATTTCTACATATATTTCTATATACATATATATATTTGCATGCCTTAACACTAGTCCGATAAAAGAAATTGAGTATCTTATTTTGGGGTTGCTGCTGAGTACTATTTTCGCTTTCGTCGTGCAAATCATTATAGTGGATCCATAAAAATTGAGTCCATGTTACGGGTATTAGAACAATAATAAATGTCAAGGTTATTGTATAACTAATAGCAGTCATATCCATCACGCACCAACTAGAAATGAAAATGTACAAGAAAATTTGATTGTGTGTTATTAATTTGAATTGTATATATATATATATATATATATATATATATATATATAATGGTTATTTTCTAAAATAATTAAAATAGGTACTTTAATCTATTTTTAAGTAGAAAAATGCATATTGAAATACGTAGAATATAAATTTCAGTTATATATTTGACATACTTTCATGGAAATGATTTGCCGTAAATAAATTTGGTGATTATATATTGCATAAAACACATTGCTGTTAATATAATATTATATAATGTATGTCATATCATTGTAATGTAATATATATTGTATAAATTGTATAAAGTTATATAGATACATATACATAAAATTGACTATTATCTTACCATAACACAAATTACTTATTGTCAGTTCATAAAATAATCTATTTTTATTCCTAAGATTCTAAATTATGTTTTACAAAATTCATTTTTAATTTGATATGTAATCACAACATCGAAAAAGCTCGAATGAACACCAAATCTATAACTATGCAAAGAAAAATTATAATGATTTTTATAAATATTTATTCCCAAACTCTGATATGGCACAGAAATTTTATAATTTTACTTAAATTTCTAAAAGCGTGAATAAGAAATTAATATAAAATACATATATAACTGTACTAATTATCCAAAATTTTATTTTAGATAAAAGAATAAGATTTCACCTTCGATTGTTCATACTTGCTATAGGAATCATAAGAATAAATCCAGAGAAAATAAGAACTATTGTAACACATGCTATATAAAATTTAAAAAGTGGGTCCGGCTCTCTTAAATACGGTATTTCCCAACTCCTTTGTGAAAATGTTAAGAAGAGTGGATTAATATCTTCCCATTTACACCACTGGCTGAAAATCATATAAAAATTGTGAATCTTACAGCCGTATAGAAAGAAGAAAAACAAGGAAGAAAAAAAAAAGAAAGAAGAGAAAAAAAAACATAATGATGTATTAAAACTGTATTTATATAGCTATACATTTGAGATAAAATTTTTATTAGGCAATCGTATCGACTAAAGCTATGAATCATTTTTTTTCATTCAGCAATCGTAGGAATAAATGTCATTAATGAAACAAAATCATGTACGATACATTTTATAAATATACGTACTTCCATTTACTAAGAGGCATCTGTTCAATAGCTTTTTCCATTTCGGCATCTGCAGCTCTCAGCATAAGATGATAATCTTGCAAACACGAGCTTAAAAAATGCGTTTTTCTTCGAACACTACACGCATACACGTCAACTGCATTACTAAAATGTTTATAAAAACATGCTGCACTTAATAAGTCATAAGAACTTGTGAGTATTCATATCAAATTGTAATAATAAGTTTAGTTTAAATATATTCACGAAGCGAATCTAATTTTTTATTGGTAATTGAAAATAAATATTGAATAAACATTATCAAGGTTTGAGCTTGAGAGGTAAAGTTAAGAATTAATATAAGTGATTGATCATTTGCGGCAAGTTTAGTACTCCGTAATAAAGGAGATTTATGTACCATTTGAGATGATGCTGCTTGTTAGTAGAAAATGACGGAGCGTTTGCTGTTGTTAGAAGCATGAAGCTCATATCCGATTTCTGGAAATATAATTTATTGAATTATAAGCGGTAACTAATACATTGCAAAAATTTAAGTAAAAAATATACTAATGGAGTCGATGCGGGAAATGCAGTAGGTGTAATGAGGTAACTTTGAATGATTCCGTATTTGTCGAGAACATCGTCATTTAATTTTTTCGCCGGTTTGTAATCGTATAACCTAGAGTCTAAAAGATTTAAAGTTTGTTGAGTAATATGTACTTTTCCGGCTTCTCCAGTCTGTTCCATTTTATTGGCAATAATGACATCACGGGACCAAATATCATATTGCCACTTATTAGTGCCGAGAATTCCAGAAATGATCTTTCCGGAATGAACACCTATGCGCATGTTAACATCGACGCCACATTCTCTTTGTACTCTAGCGCGAACATTATTTATTATACTAATCATGTCCAAACCTATATGAATATATTTATATTTACAAAGATGAGTAAATAAATAAATAAATAAATATATGTCGTACATTAACAAAATATTAGAATATTATTAAGATTTTACTATTTTGGCGATTAGATTACTCATGTAAACATCAACAAAGTATCTCAACCGAATTGTAAATGTTCAATTATTGTTTTCGATGGGATAGGATTTATCGTATATTTTAATGATAATTTGATGCCAAATAAGTTTCTGCTGAAATATTACTACCGTACATTATTACTGCCGTAATAATACTAGAGTTTAAAAGAATTACGGCACCAAATAATTAAATAATACAACGAATTTAATGTAAGCTAATTAGAAAATATAATTAAAGTAAAAAAAAGCTAATTTAATTAGATTTTTAGCATGATTCATGCATCAGTTTAGCATGTATTTCAATATTATACCTGAAGCTCGTATCTATGTATTTTTTCTCGTAATTTTTGTTTGTAACCAACTGCAATCGATCTAGTCGGAAACTTGTAAGTTTGACAATCAAGATATCCACATTGCCATCTCTTATTCAACTTTCTATTTTTTTGCATCCATTTTCTTGAAATATCTTTAATCTATCATAACACGGTTTTAATAACTCTATTTACAGGCTTTCGACAGGCCTATAATTCCAAGTATCAATGTACTTTCTTCATTAAAAGATTCCATAAAGTATAAGGTTTGAAAATATCGATATATTGATGGATTTACTAAAATAATTAATTTCTCTAATTTTTTTGATTTGAAGAATAAATGTAAATAAAATACGAATGTTTGTCCATTTTCTTTGCAAGAATACGCAATATTTGAACCAACTAATACATTTCTCTTTAAAAAGGACTATACAAATTGTTTTTAATTTCTCTATACATTTTAACTATTTTCCTGTCCTGTTTTGTCCTGTTTTGTCCTGTTTTACCTTTCTCATATTTACAGTATGGAGGTTAATCTTATATCTCAAAAATGAAATTAAAACAATATTAATTAAAATTATAGATTCTGCTTTATCGACGACATTTTTTTTTCTTATTCAATTTTAAAAAGTTGACATTAGCACTGCTTGTTAAACATATCATAATTTATTAAAGTAATCAATCGTAATCTCCTTCGAAGGAAACTCCATACTCGAGACATTATTGTTTATCTCATCATAAGGTAAAACTTTTGTTGAAACCATTTGTAGGGAATCCTATCGTTTACACTTGTGACGACACATTAGTAATTTAATTTGCAAACGTAGTTTTAATTTTATAGTTTTAACGGAATCTCTTTTATCGATCTCTTTTATTGATTGAAGACATTAAACTCGAGCTTACCGATTTTAATTGTCCCATGAATATTCGAGACAAATAAATTAGCGGATTCGATATAATTGTGAATCTGAATAAGGATATAGTTAAGGAATAGAATATTTTTGTCCAGGGTTTATTGAAAAAAAAAAATTACGTTTCTTCAAGTATTAGAGTTTTTCGTGTATCATAAAAACTAAATCGATATAAAGTTCAAATCATCTCTTAACAATTTGATCAATACAAACTGTTATGACGTCTAGAAAATATTTATCTATCGCTATGGTTCGTATTTCGCAAGTTAGAAATACATAAAATATATTTCTTGTTTTATCTTACGAGTAAACATATTGATAATGGTCAGCATTAAAAATTTTTCTATATCATCTAATTTCAATAATAGATATATTTCACGTTTTGTTTCATCTTTACAATTATATGGCAAATGACTAAAAAGACGTATTTCTCCATCTTTAATCGAATAGAAAGTCGTAGGTACTCAATGGCAAACACGTTCAACTATCGAAAAGTAAGAGTCAACTAATGCCTTTTACAAAATTTCTCGATCATTTATGATAATTGACGTAGGCTTAAATATATAGTTAATGTTGAATTACATTATTTTAAATTGCACTATTGCATTTCGAATTTTTATGATCGCATAAGACATACAATACACATTTATCTCTTCCCATATTGCATTGGGAATTAGGTTGTCTTTTTAAATAACAAAACACATTTCTATATATATATATATATATATATATATATATATATATTTCATATAAAAAACTATTTATCTAAATGCAAATTATATAAGATTCTGCCATTAAAAATTCAATTATTAGTTAATTGACTTACCCAAATCAACACAACTCTTAGCATGTTGGGAATTAGGAGTTGGTACACCACTGACACAATAATAACAATCCCCTAGGAATTTTATTCTTAGAACATTATGCCGCTCGGAAGCTTCATCAAAGCTGCCAAAAAGGTCATTAAGTGTTTCAACCAATTTTTTTACAGGTAAAGTCACAGTCAATCCAGAAAAATTTACTATATCTGCGTAAAGAATACTAACATTTTGATGCGTTTCAACGTATAGATCTCTATTCGTAAAATTAATAATAGATATTATTAAAATTTTAAATAATTTATTAAAAGGATGAAATGCTTATTATACTTTGAAATAGAAGAGGATTTCCCTTCTTCAAATGGTGGTTTCTTGTGCTCTTCTATAAATTTGCATATATCGCGAAAGTTCTCTTTTATTTTAGCTGCAAAGTGTTTTGGCAAAATGCTTCGTGTAATTTGTTCCTAAAAAATGGAATTGTATAAGTACATATTTAAATTTTTATGCGCATCTGCGTAGCAAGGAATTTTTTCAAATATGGATAAAAATTGATTCGATATTACATACTTTGGAAATAATTAAATATTAATTTATGCAATAATTGATACTGTATTAATATTATATTGATATTAATATTTATAATTACTACTTATTATTTAAAAATTTCTATATATAAATAAGAAAAAAAATAATAATAATATAATTTTATTTCAACGTGGTAAATTGAATCATATCTTTATGAATTTCATAATGTACGTATGAAAAATTCTAAAGAAATTAAAATTTATCCATCTCTGATTAATTAAAACAATTATCTTATATTTATTACTTCTTGATCTTTTTCATAGTTAAGTCTTAATGTTGATTCTACACATTTTCTACGATCTAAAAACGATCGTCTCGTCATAACTTCATTCATAAAACGAAAATAGAGGCCTAAGCAATTAACACATGAGTGATACATGACATCTGTTGTTATCTGAAATTCATCAATTATGTTAATACAGAGGTTGATATAGTTAATAAACATTTTATAATCAAAGATGAAAAGAACTTTTTAACATCAGACAATTAATATTGAAAAGCAATATGATATTTATATATTTCGCAACTTATAAAAATTATATTGTTAAATAAAATTTTGCATGGCTATGCATATGAATAAGATTTATTTTTGGTTTTAAAATAAAACATAAAAACTCTATATACTTTTATATGTTATAGTGCTTAAAATCGAGTACATAAATGATAATAGAATATTTAAACAATTACAGTGTTCATTATTATATCATAAAATATCAGTATTAATGAGAACTTTTTAAAGGAACATTTATAAGTACTTTCGTTATACGATGAATTTTCGACGGTGATAATATTTTGGAATATAGTGCATTATCGTTGTATCGTTGTATTGTTGATCATGATATCTTTTAAAAGTTTTCATTTTTGTGGATATAAAGCTTTGTCGTAAAAGTACATTTTTCATATGGATTAAGCGACATCAGAGTATACTTAATTGTAGCAAATTAAAAAAAAAAAAAAAAAAAAAAAAAAAAAAAAAAATTGAATTCCTACTAAAATACCGTTCTATTGTAATCTGATTCATGTAATTATTTGAGCTTAAATTTACCTTTAAGGAAAGATTAGGTTCATTCCTGTATGTAATTAGTGAAAGACTAGCAAGATAGCAAAATGATGCAGTAATTCCAAGAATAAAAGCGTGAAGATTGCTCGATAATGGTAGAAATATATAACAGACTAGAAGTGTATGTGTGGCATAGACTGGCCTAGAAAAATACGATTATATATATATATATATATATATATATATTATACAAATGATATTAAAATAAATAATTATTATATAAAATACCTGAATGATATATTTTCATTAATACTAGTTAATGTATAATAAACGACTACAGTTAAGTCGCCAATAACAAGAAGAACAATTATAAGGCACGAAAGGCAAACGGATAAATACGATTCTTTCAGAACTAATTGCGAACGAAAAGAAAGAGCTATTACAGGAAAAAGTAAAGCGTTCACAATTCCACATGCCATCAAATCAACTATTATATTTTTAATTTCTATCTAAAATATATTTTAACATGTTGATCATTTGTATAAGTTTATGAAAAAGATAAAAACGAGAAAAAAAGAAGAAAAAAAAAAGAAAAAAAGAAAGTAAAAAATAATTTCAATGAATACTTTCGTATTTCTCTTTCACCTTACCGTGGAAATCAAAACAATACAATGTATAATATTAATAAACAGCTGCAATAAAACAAAAAGTGACATATAACCATTCTCAATTTTTCTACGATAAATTAAATATAATTTCTCAAGACTTTTATATTTGAACTGTTTCTGAAAAAAAAGTCTAAATATAAATTTTAAAAAAGTAAAATTTGATAATATTTATATATACATATATGATTTGTTAGTATTGAATTTTGTAATTTACCCTTAAATTGCACCACGTCCAGTCTTCTAAGTTTGCAGGTGACACTATAAAATTTTCATCCACTGTTCTTTGCAATGAAGATAAGGAATTTCTGGCTACTAGTTCAACATCCATTTTTAATTTTGTATAGTTTATCAGGCACATTTAATAATAATTTTCTTATTTTCTAACATTCGAGTCTTCATTACATATGATAATTTATATTTTTTAAATATTGTCAGCTGTAGAATTTTGATTAGTTGTTTGAAGCAAATGATATTTTTTTCCTTTCTAATTTAGCCTTAACGTACGTGACACTGGCGATGAATTAAAACTACGTGGTTTCTGAAACATTAATAAATACAAAAAATAAATACATAAATCATTCTGACGAACGTAATTAATTTCTAATAATGAAGAATATATGTAAAATTTCTTTTTTGTTCCTGACGCTTTGTTACTTTAAAATTGTAGAATTATAAGCCATTATTGTCATTGCACTCGATTGTCATACAACTCACTTGTAAAATTTGGAAGAACGGATCTACGGAAATAATTAAACTACTCAGAGTTGACTAAAAGACTGGCAATTGGCAAGCTTTACAAAGAAATATTGACCATCGGCTTATCCAGTTTGGGAGTGATGCGATAACATAATACTGACATCATCGATAAGCTAGATTATATTTATGTGTACTATCGAGCTACTATATCTTTATTCATTATTAATACATATTACTATTATCTAATAAAACTATATAATGTTTTGTAATGGCAATTATATTAGTGATTAATAAAGCGTTAAATTAAGCAGATACGTTTAAAGTTCATTAGCTTGAGTTTTATTATTCGAGTTTAAATCAAAATAGTTTGTTAATTTATTTTAAACTTCATATATCTATATATATATATATATATATATATATATATATATTTGTTAATAAGTTGATTCTCTCAGGTATGTTTTTGTTATTTAAATACATTACATTACTATCGTATTTTTAAAAGTTCTCGTCAAGGCGGCAATATTTCGCATACTAATTTTATTGTTAAAAATTTATTCCCAAGAACAAAATTGATCACGTGCTTTCGCATGTACTTTAACGTATCTTACGTATTTTAATCTAACCGATACATAATCATTTATGCAGTGTTCTGTTTAATATTTCTACGAGATTATTTATTTAGAAGAAATAATTTTTATGGCTTGTATTAAATAATGCAAATATATCAACGATTGTATATTTAATTTATTTTTAATTGATATTTCGTGTTTAGAGTCTCTGGATCTATTAAACGAGCAATATAAATTATTGTATTATTTTTAATATGATTAAGTTCAAACTATGAGTTATAATTATAAGATGCGCTTTTTAATTAATATTTATCTTACGTTTACTTGCGCGTAATATTATATTAGAAACTTAAAGTAACACTTTAAGCGTATTTATTAGTTAAAAAAAAAAATTAATCTGTTTAATAGGAGTTCAATAATAATAAAAAAATTACTGCTATTATGCGTAATAATAGTCAAGGTAAAAGTGTTGTAAGCGATAATTTTTTTCATATGAAAAACACTGGCGAAGTTATTATGAATTTGTTGATATAAATTTGTTGATATAGTTTTTATTACAAAATTTCTATCATGTATTTATTAATAATTACAAGGCTTATAATTTCTAAATTAAAACTTCTGGTAATATTAAATATGTGTTCATATTGAATTATACTCGATAAAAAAGATCGAAATTTTTTAGATTCGATAATAGCTTTTTACAGTAACATAATATCTCCGGAACCTCAATTATTAAATATATAGGATGCTTTAAGCGTATTAATAAAATATTCATATGAATACGTGAAACTTGATGGGAGGGGAGGAGGAGGAGGAGGAGGAGGAGGAGGAGGAGGAGGAGGAGGAGGAGGAGGAGGAGGAGGAGGAGGAGGAGGAGGAGGAGGAGGAGGAGGAGGAGGAGGAGGAGGAGGAGGAGGAGGAGGAGGAGGAGGAGGAGGAGGAGGAGGAGGAGGAGGAGGAGGAGGAGGAGGAGGAGGAGGAGGAGGAGGAGGAGGAGAGTGAGGAGTTGTAACAGAAAATTAATTGAAATAATTAAATTCAATATGCTAAGAATAAATTATTAAAATGACTTTGAATGCTAAGAATAAATTATTAAAATGACTTTGAATCCTTCAATAAATACGACTTTTATGCTGAAGCAAAATTGTCACACTGAAAGAGAAGTTATGACAAATTTTCAATTTATCTACATTTATCATGGACAGTTTGAAGTTAAATAAAATATGATAAACGGAATTATTAATCATGTACTTTTAAAGAAAATAATATATTTGTCAATATTTTCAAAGATAGGTGAAGATAGTTAAGGATTAATTATGTAAATTTTATAAATTTCTAATACTTGTTTTAATAATAATTTTTATAAAATACTTTATCATCACAGTTGTTTAAATATGTGGTAATTCTAATGTATTACGGTACAATAACAATGAAAAAAGAAAGAAAGTAAGTTAAATAATGAAGTGCATTGTTTAATCATTAGTATGGATTAGATTTCTTAAAATATTAACTAAACATAAATATTAATAATTATAAAAATTATCATTATAAGAAAAATTTACTACGATGGCATTAATTTTCTGAAACACTTAAATAATAAAATATTTATATTTTATAATAAATATTAAGATTAATTTTGTAATATCCATAATTAATTATTATTCCATTAATAATTCCATTAATCTTCCAATTATATTATTTATCAATAATTAATCACACATTGTTATTTTACATAATATTTATGTGAATAATATGACAATGACTTGAAATATAATTAAAAAGAAAAGGCAAAGTTAAAAAGTTGAAAATCTATTATTAATTATAAAATCATTTAGTAACTGAAATGAAATAAATTAAAACGAAATTTGCGATTATATTACTTTATTGAACTTTGTTGAAATTCAATTAGCCTATTTGCAATATTATTTAAGCTTTTCTTAATGTCGACAAATAATACCTATGCTTTAGATTTTGTAATTTATTCTGTATTTCATCGTTTAATAATTATATGAAATTTAATTGCTTTTAAAGTACATTACACCTACTGACCTCTTTTATAATATTTATATATTTATATTTATTCCATAATAATAGTTCAACTTTAATACTACATAAAGCGATACATAGTTTTTATTTGTATTAGACGATAATGTACACGTAATTTATTTTTATTATTATCGTTTTCACTTAGTTCATTACTTCCGTTGGTCTTTTTAATCTGTGATTTAAAATGCATGTGTAAATCGAAATTGATATCGAATTCACTTATTACATTAATAATCTTATGCATGTGTTTATATTGCATACTCTGCGTATATTGGTACTAATTTATGCACTTGTGATCACATGTAGTCTGTCTCAATAAATATAGTTAGCTTCGATAATTTAATTTCGTCGATGTGCTTTGTGTTTAAATCGTTTTATTTTTACAATGAACTTAATTATCTATATATATATATATATATATATATATATATATCACAAATATTATCAAATTTTATTTCCATAAATATATATGTGTAAATATATGATTTTAAAATTTAGTTTTTGCCATAGAATTTCACAGCTTTGAAAATTTAGAATTCTTATTTTATTATTATGTTGAAAAATAGCAAAAACAGGAGTCAAAAAAGAAAATATATTTAAACATTTTTTTTTTTTGTTATATTCTTGTTTTTTTTTTTGTATTTTAAAAATATGTCTCAATTTTTAATAATTGCCTGACTTTTAACCAAATGATTTATAAATTTTTAATTTTGTTCAATTCTATTTTTCAAATTAATTCTAATAATTTATAAAACATTTTAGCCATTGTATCATTAAAACAATTTGTTTTTAATGGGTATAGAAAATTTAAAACCGTTATTAAATTTAAATATGAGATAAATTTTGACTAAGCGAAGGATGAAGATTTTTTAGATTCTCATAGTACTTTGAATATTTTTTTGTACAAAGCAAGAAAGTACTACGAGTTTCAGAAGAGGCGCAAACACGTGTTTCCTTGGTTCATATCTTTAGTTACGCTAAGATTGCGTATGTAGTAAAAATTGATTGAATAAATATCCATGGATTGAGTATATAGAGAAAAAGCCGAGTTGACAGCGCAGTCAGGCAACATATTACGAGCCGAGGGAAGAAGAAAGAGACCGAATGACAGAGAGAGAGAGAGAGAGAGAGAGAGAGAGAGAAGTCGAGCTGATGCCGCGTCAAACTAGATAAGCGATTGACCCTCCTTCTGACCCATGCGATATTTTAACGACAGAGTTACTCTCTAATATTCACTCTCTACAATCGTGAATATGTGCTATTAGTTTTCGGGGATAATAGCATGTGTTTGTAGTCAACGTCGTTGGTACTTTTATTTATTTATTATTAGCGTTATATATTATTAATAATATTATTATAAAAAAATTTTCATCGAGACTGTTATTTGTTCTTTCAAAAGTGTTTGATCAACAAGGTCGATAATATCATGAAAAGCGAAGTATTTGTGCTTTTTACTTGTGGCTTACTGATAGATTTCTGCTTTCTTGTGCAAGGCGGTAAGTTTTTCAAAATTATCCTTTAATCGTTGAATTTTGTCAATTCCACATTAAAACGACAAAATTTTTGTAATATCACAATCTATGAAAATATCTTGCATGAGTGATCACATATTATTAATAAAATTTTTTAACTTATATTATATAAATTAATGATTGTTTATAAAATAAATGTGAGTTAATCGAGAATGAATCTCTTTACAACATTGCATCTTAATATTGGTTTGATAGTTTATTTTATAAGTAATTTCATATAAAATAATGTGAGTATTTGTAAATAGAATTCTTACTTTTAATCGTTATAAATGGCAAAGTTTGAAAATATTGTTCTTTTTCAACTGCAAATAAACTCTACCTTAAATAATTGCTTTTCTTGTAAAAAAAAAAAAAAAAATTAACGCACTACTATTAAATTATACGGTTCATGTTGCAATTCTTTATAATCATTTTACAATATAATAAGTGGCGTTTATTTTAAATGCATAATATTTTTATACATATTCTATTTTAAAATTATACAAATTAGAAAAGGGCGTCAAAATTATATTTACAAAATTTTTACGGATATTTTCAAATGCGTTATCGTTGCATTGCATTCATATTCCTGTCTACAGGAACATTTGTTATTTCGATGATATTTAAATTTAATCAAAGATTCAATTGCAGTATTATTTAAAGTAATATTTAAATTAATGTTTGAAAAGAAAATAATAAAAGATTATTACGTATGATTTGAATGAAACAATGTATTTCAATCTTATATTTTTAATACAATAATTAATCATATCTTGATGATATCGTATGGGAATATCTTTTAACCTTTAAAAAAAAAAAAAAAAAAAAAAAAAAAATAATAGGAAACATATTGGTTTTTCCTCGTACTAAAAAATTACTCGATAATTCTAAATAGTTTAGAAATAAATCAGTTTCGTATAAACAACCTAATAAATTACATTAGCTGTAACAGCAGTATAAGAAAGTAAATAATAATGAAATAATATTCTTTTTTAAGAATAAGAAGGTCGTAATTTATAAATTTATTAATGATGGAGAATAATAGGAACGAGTGTAAATTTCATAGACTGGTAGTGGTGGTAGTGGGCCTTATATAATAAAACGAAATAGTCTTTATTGTCGTTTATTGTTGTACTTAATCGTACGAGTTTTGCATAATAATTAAATTGATCACATATAATTAGGCAAACGGTGGTTTAAAATAAATGTACCAATGCTTTCAGCGGAGAATGAATCGATATCGAATAGCTCGACCTCGGCGCAGATCGCCCAGGGGGAAAAGCAACTCGGCGATCAGATTCGTGCGATTCTGAAACACTACCAGCAAGCGGATCCCATTGGACTGCCGGGTGCTCCTGTGCCCGATCCCATGTCCGTACCCGACATGAAGCACTCCTTCTCTATGTTTACGATGAATCTCAATTCTATAAAGGTCTACGGTCTAAGTAAGTTTCGTATCGAGCACATACGCTCGGAGCTCGCGCTTATGCAAGTTTCCGTGGCCTTGCACATCGAAAGCTTGGACATTCGAGGCCTTTACACCCTGTCATCTTGGCTATCAAGCTCGGCCGGAGATTTTACGGTCAAGCTCACGGGGGTGAATATCCAGGGGCTGGCAAGATTGGAAGTTGGTAACGATGGGAAATTGCACGCTCAAGATATTGACATGGATTTGACGTTTGACAACATCGACATGGACTTCCAAAATCTTGGCTTTTTGGCATCGGTCTTCCAAAGCTTCATCAACTCGGTTGGCTCTTTTATTTTCGATAGCATCAAGCCTTACATTTTGAAAGAGGTTAACACCAATATACGGTAAATAATTAGCTTCGCAATCTTTTTCACCGCAAAAACTATTGTTGTTTTTTTTTCTTTTTCTTTTTTTTTTTCTTTTACAATTAGTTTTCCACGCAAACAGTCCACTGCTATTGCAAAATAATATACGTCTTAATCATCGACTTTAAATTCAAATATATCCAGGAAAGTTCAAAATAAAACTGCATTTAAAATATATTTAAAAATACCTAGCGAGCATTGCATGTAAATACAAATTTTAAATTTATAATTTCACATCAAGTTGCCGTGTGAATTTAAACAATATTTTCATGAATTTATTTAGAATATTATAACATTCTTTTATATAGGGGCGAAGTGAACAAGCATATCTCGCAGCTACCAAATTACTTTCCAAATTCAATTTCACCATTCGATATGGCTGTTGCCGAAGCTCGTAAGCAAGTTTCCGACATGGGCTATGACCCTTTCAAGGTCAAGGATTATAGCCAGAGTATGGGCATCTTCACAGTAACATCGTCGCATACCTGGTTGACTGGATTAGCTAGTTTCTATCGCATGGGCAACATTACCCTCAGCATGGAAAACGGCATTGTCAGTCTTATCAATAATTATAATAAAAACTTAACAATATTTATAATAATTATGAAGCATTAACCGTTACGAAATTGATGTTGAATTTTTCAAAGAATTTAAATAATTCATTTAATATGGCTTGTACGGTTCGTGAAACTAAACTTTGACCTTAATTAGAAAAAAAAAAAAAATGAAAAAAAAAGAAAGAAAAAAAAATAAATATGTATATTGAGATAATTTTTCGTATCGCCGTTGATATATATATATATATATATTGACAAAAATATAACTTTCATACAATTGCTTTCATTTAAATTTCTAAAAGTTAATACATTTCTTATATAAATTAATAAAATTTTGCATTGTATATCTTATCATCATTAGTTTTATCCTGTCTTATGATGTTTATTGTTGAAAAATTCGTTCTCAGAGATTTTTTTCAATCACACGCTTGATTGTATCGTTGATCGATTAAATTTTAATTGTGTAGTTAGGTGTAGTTACGAAATCTCCACTTACATCTAAAAAATATTGTAAGACATCATCATCACAGCAATATATATATATATATATATATATTCAATATAATTAAATGCTCCATGAATATATATTTTAGGTATATGCGGTCATGGATATTGGCACTCAAGAAATTGAAGGTCGAACTCACTGGGAAGTGAGCGTAATTGGAGGAGTTTTGTCCAAGGCAGGTACAGTTTCCTTTACCGTCGAGTATTTTCGTGTTCAATTAAATCTTAGTCAACCACTTGATACTCGAAAGCGCGCTACACTGGAGGAGCTTGATTTCGAACTTGGAAATATACAAACTCGTATCCATGGCGCTGGTACAATCGACTATCTAGTTGAAGCTGGGATTAATATATTACCAAATCTCCTAAGGTTCGTACGACCAATTATAAAGTACTATGTATTTTAATAGTAATAGACTATCGTCGTTCGAATTCAGTCCATATTATTTCATATATTTCTATGGGCAGGGAGTGAGAATTTTTTAATTACTATATCAATGACATCAAACGAGCGAATAAATAGATATTAATTTGCATCGAATGTATTATTTTTCAATACAGAAATCAAATAATGGATGCTTTAGAGGGTCCGATAATGAGACGAATTCAAGACGAGCTTGATAAAGTAGACGTTGAAAAATTAATTCACGAAAAAATTCCGGATATTGAAGAGCACGCGAGAATGCTTCAAGGTATCGAGACGGTCGATGATGTTATTTTAGAGGATGTGAACGCGACGCCTGGAGAGCTTGAAAATCAAGAGCCCTTTTCAGATAGCGAGGAGGAACGTGGCCAATCTTAAAAATGAATATGCATAATAATAACAATAGGCCAATGAAACTCGTTATTATTATATTATCTACTTGCTCATTTATAATTTATTTATTGGAGAAGCTCAAACGAACGAACTATATAGCCATTAAGTAAAATTGCATGTAAATGTAAGATCTTGTGGATTTGTACATTGAATGAAAAATGGTATGAATACTTTTTTTTTTTTAATTATGGATGTGTACGTATGTGCGGATGAGTGAGTGAGTGAGTGAGCAATATATATGTATTTATACATTATTATAAAAATATGTAATATAATTTTATCTTTTGTTTACGAATTTTAAGATTTCTAATACAAACTTCGATAGTAATGAAAATGCATAAGAATATCTAATAGTAATGTTACCACTCTTCGCAAATGATAGCATTCAAATAGAAAATAGTTTTTTATTTAAATTATATTTACACGTAACGAGCGGGAAATGATTGTCAAATTTATTAGATGTCAAATAATATTTGATAATCAAGAAAGATTTTACTTTTTTTGTCTTATACTTTAATTATTATGAATGACTCAAATAAATGACTAAAATATTATTAAAAGAAGCGTTAATAAAAATTAAAATATATTGGATCACATTTAACTCGATAAATATATTTTTTTGAGGAATATTCGATTAAATAATCTAAATGCTGCACATTTTAATATATATATGTATATATATATATAATTTTTTTTATTTTAAAGATAATAATAGGCATAGAGACATATTATAAAACATTATTTTTTCCCATAAATTGCATAGTCTACCTTATAAGAATTTCTCTTTATAAGAATCAAATAAATTATATATGGATCATATAATACATAAAAGTATTAGGAATTCTTAATATATTTATGTGATATTTCGTTTAAACATGCTGTAAAGAAATTTAATGTTGTTTATAAAGAATGCACTTTTAATATTAATAATTCCAAGATATTAATAACAATATATCTAAACTAAATATCTTTGTATTAAAATCATTAATTTATATATTAAATATATTTGTGAATTTTTTGTTCTTTGTTTAATTTTATTGTAAAAGTCCCTTCTCTGTAATACGTAAATATATATGGTTAATAACTTTTTATTTATTTATGCAAAATAATATTATTTAAATTTTTTTAATAATTAATTATGAATGGGCTACTGCCCAATTAAATGAAAAACATAAGAAAACCAATTTTAATAAATAATCATTCATTACGAATCATTGTTTACGAATATAATTTCAATTTATTGAGTTTTTATTATTTTTGTTCGGTGGTGCATTTTATTTAGTAACAAAGTGTTATATTACACAGCTGATCGTCGTGCTTTGATATAAATAAATAAAATTTTGTTTTAACAAAGTAAATAGTATTTGATGAACACCTATCATTCGTTGCGTCGGATATAATTTATTAATATTTTACTTCATATAGATTCGCCTTTAGATTAAAATTTAATGAAATCACGAGATGTTTATTATTGATGAAAATTGAATTTTTTGTTTTAATAATAATATTATGTTTGAAACAATTTATTTCATTTATTATGGGCAAATGTATCTGTTTATTTAAAATTGATGTTGTGTTAAAAGTAGTATAAAGGAAATATAATTATGAATTCTTTAATTATCAAAATTTAAAAAAATTTCATTATTTAACAGAAAAATGTATGATCGATGAGAAAAAAAAATCCAGATAATTGTATAATAAATTATTATAAGAATTTATTATGATTTTGCATATTAAATAGTATTAATTAAAATAAAAGTAGCGAAGTTTCTTATAATATTGTTATGAAATTGTAAAAGCTAATGATAAAACTTATGAGTATAATAAGTTATTTAATACGAATGAGCAATTTTCAATTTATTAATGTAAAAAATAACTATTAAATACTTTATTATTAAAAATTTGAGAAGCCGATATATAATTATGCCTAAATGTATAATTGCCCTTATCACAAGTTTATTGTTGATGATATTATTTTATTTACAATAATATTATTACCAATAACAAATTAAAATAAATACCATGGATTTTTTATGATCAAAGCAATATTTAATAATCACTTTTGTAATAGTTGTTTAGTAAAAATATAAAATTTTATCGAAATAAACATAAAGTAGATGAAACGAACGTGTAATATTAGTAATGATTGTTTATAAATTTGCATTAGTAATGTTTTGTTTAATATATATTGGTTTATAAAAATTATTGTATAAATGAAATGACATATTTTGTGTTTAAATACATAGCAACGTGTTGTAATATAATAAAGCAATTGAAATGGACGTAGAAAATACAAGGTTATAAATATATTGGACTTGTAAAATATAAAGTAATATTACTTTTCTGCCCCCATTCGTCTTTCTCATATTTTCCTTGGCTCGTGCACATGCTCAAACAAGCTTCGGTAATGCACCGTAAGACGCGGTAGCGGAGCCACAGCCACAATTGTGACCAGATTCGATTGTGCTGATTGTCATTCTCTCTTCACGTCTCCGTCTATGATGCATCAGTGATCTACCTTGTGTCAATATGACTGTAGTCCTTCAAGTGTTTAGCGAATATAATAAATACCAACTGATTGTAGCGTAGGATGTAAGAGGAGAGCAGACAATATATTATGAAGTGTTCGAGATCAATATTTTCTACAATTTTTGTACTTAAATTTTTGCAACCAAAGCGCTTTACAATACGGTGTTCGATAATAATTTTAGATTCAATTATACAATGAAAGTGTCGTACAACTGTGTTGACTGTATTTGAAAATTAATACAAAGTTAAGCATTAATTCAAGTTTCAAAATTCATCATGAAATCATGTTTCATGATAAATATCTAAAAGCTTGAACGCCTTCCCATATTCACGTTTAATAGATTGAAATTTCATTGCAGTAAGTGCACTTACACCTTGGGATTTAATATTATATTTGCTTATTTGAAATGTCTCGTAAAATGTATGAACGAATCGTACAAGTATTAATGTGAAAGCGAATAAAAAAAAAAGTACGTTCGACACTTTTATGCAGCAGTTGTTCATTCTATATATCAAATATTGAAATGCCATTGCGGTAGAAATGCAATAATTATCTAAAATTGAAATCATCGTTAAAAAATAGGTATGACTTTCTTCTTCAATTTTCGCACGAGCGAACCTCGTTTACATTATGCACGTACAGGCGAACAATTCTTTACGACGAAAGCGTAGGCGATTTTTGAAGGCCGATAGGCAGCATCCCTCACCTCGCCTCGTTATTACTTATAAATATCATTTATCGCATCTCTTATAATTGGCATGCACAATACGCAATAATCTCGTATAATTTCTTCGAATTACGAAGCAAAGCTCGTACAAGTAACTTTCATCCTTTAATTGTTCGTCTTCTCTTACTTTTTGAGTCAATGCTCATGTGGGCTATGCCGAGCGATTTGACAGTTGAGATTAGTACGCGTGCGGCTGCGTTTACATACGGCGTCGGTAATTGAGCATGGAAGAGAAAGAAAAAAAATTTTATTTAATACTATGTAGAACAATATTTACATTGTGAACGGCGATAATTTTAAAAAGTACTTGCTATAAAAAAAAAAAAAAAAAATGTAGTTTTACTCAAAATCAGAGATATTTAATTTTTCTAACTTTTGAAAATTGAGGTTAAATTAAATTTGCCATTTTATTGTACATTGCGTATTTGTAATAATACAAGCAAGCATTTTACTCGTTTCTTAACTTTCTCTTTCAAATTGCCTCTTTAATGAATGGTCTACAAAGTAAATAAATAATCGAAGGAAAAATTTTGGTCGATAAATTTTATAAAAATAGGATCTTACTACTAACCGGATTTTAAGTTTTCAAATTTTGTAAGTAAAATTAGCCCACCAACATTTCTATTGACTAATTATCTCCTTATCTAGTCCATAAAAATTATCATCAAAATGTTTTATTCAAATAATTTACTCTTAGACTCGACTACATTTATTTTATTACAACTTTTAGAATTGCAAATTCAAATCCAAAAGGAGATCTCGTTGTTTGTAAAATTTCCAATTTTCTGCATTTTTCAATATCAAGAGATGGATTTTCGATTCGATATCAACAGTATTTTGCCAAATAAAATTAACAAAATAACTCATACTCTCATACCTGAGAATTTCAAAGGAAATCGTAGGGAATATAAGTAAGTACATCAATCGCTTATTTTTAATATTAATGTTTTTAGATAGTTGAAGATTACTATGAAGTGGGACTGTAATTAATTTTAAAGGAAACACAAATTACAAAAGTAATTCAAATTTATACTCATAAAATATAAGATCAAGAATTTTTTAATGATAAAAACCATATAGAGAAGAAAAATATTTTTTATATACTTTAATCTCATTATATTACGTAGTACTCATTAAATAACAATTTTCAACTGTAAAATGACATTTTTACTATTAATTTCGAACGTTTCTTGTATATAAGTAAAAATTATTTATTTTTTTCTTGCTACCTAAATGCGCTAGTTTTATTTATGCAATATATTTGTATGCCTTAATTATTTTTATAACATGAAATGAAATTTCTTAGTCGTTGAATTGAAAATAATTGCTATAACTCGTTGAATATTTATATTAAAAGCGTTGAAATTTTTTATATGAAAATTTGTAACATTTTTTGTTAAATTTTTTATTTCAAGTATAATTGTAAATAATTTTATAGACAAACGATGGTATGCAGTTCTGTTTATAATTAAGTTTTATTTAATGAAATTAGGAAAGTATAAAATTAAATATATTGTTATAAAGAAATTTTTTGTTAAAATGCCAGTTTTTTTTATAGTTGTTCATGAAAATTATGAATATTTGGCTTTATTTTAATCATTAAATATAATTACTAGATTTTAAAATATTATTAAATATTATTAAACATTAATAGAATAAATTTATGATAACTGCAACCATGCAATCATGAACACATGCTTTTATACGTATATTCGTGCATGTTGTATGTATTTGCTAAATATTAAATTATTATTTTTCATTATAGATATTAATTAATATGTATTGTTGAATTTTTTAATTAAATCGTGTGCTAGAAAAAAAAAGAAGAAAAAAAATGATGAAACAATGATGTTTGTTCGAGTTCGTTCAGATTATCAAATTGAATTGAATTTCTCCTTCGTTCGCTATAAGTTGCAAAAGTCTACAAAAGCAAACGTTCACTTCTCTTTCGGTTTCCAAATCCGCTGACAAAAATATAAAAATATATAACGTCACCGAATTTTGCATAAATTACTCGCAGTTCCATTCGGTTATTTACTTCCTTTTGTGATTTTCATTCGGAGAACAATAAAAGATAGATCAAATTTTACTAATCCTATTACAATTATTCGATTTACTATAAATATTATCAATCAAAATACATGGCAGTACATTGTCCAATTTGAATATTTTTTCTCACATTCGATTACAAAGTATGATACTTCTAATTTAATAAATCAATCGGGTTCAATAGTAATCGTTATATTAATGTTCTTCAGATACTTCTGATTTGTAATCATTATTATTTTGTTTAGACATAATGTTTCAACTATCGAGCTGTTAAAAATTTTCCAATCCTATATATTTCTTATTCTATTTATTCCCGATCCTATGTATCCCTTAGCCGTAAAAATTATTGATTTTAATTTTTGGTTGAATACTTGATTGCGCTTATAATATTACATCACTTTGTCCATTACTAATTGAGTAAATATATTATCTCCTTCTACTTTGTAAGCATAGCTCTAGTAATCAATGGCCTATATATATACAGTGAAAGTTCGGAGCAAAATTGATCGTCCAGGAAGAACAGAATATTAATTGTTTGTTCTATCGATGTTCTCTTTACCTAAAATAACGCCATCCTAAATGAATTGACCATTAGTTAATTAATATAATATATTCTTTGTTTTAATTTTTATTTTCATCGAAGATAAGCGGAAAATTTATTATTACTCTTATTATAATCATGATTATCATTATTATTATTCATAATATTATTACTTTAAAACTAGCTTATTGAAAGCCACATTGTTGAATAATCCTTTTTAGCAATATGAATTTATAAAAAACCATACAATTGTATTAGTTATTAAAAAGTTCTCACATAGGATAATGTTATTCTTTTTAAATAAATAAAATGAATGGCTTTAAGTAAAATATATATGATTTCAATTTTTATATTTACAGTGACTGTCAGCGATTACTTACTACAATATTGGACGAGATGGGTGAAGCTTCTGCCAAAGCACAAGGCCTCAATAGAACTATTACGAGTGCAGTAAAACTTCGAGATACAGATCATATCATTTATTTAATGGTTGAGGATAAAGGAAATAAGTAATTATAATGTTTTATTCTTACGTATGATTAACAATTACGACCCAACGAAAGTAAGATAATTTTTTTTTAAATCTCCATCCATTTTTTCTTTTTATTCAACCATTGGATTGAAAGAATTTAGTTCTTCAGATTGTTTAGATCGTCCTAAGTCTAATATTTGGTTTACGATGTTAGGACGTTTACTTTAAACTTTTATGTGAAAACGTTGAACTATGAGATTTACGTTACAATCAAGTTCTTATTAAGTTTCTCCTATATTCATACGAGTCGATAAAAATGAATTATAAATATATTGATAATTAAAATTTTAACAAACTTCTTTTATTAAGAAAAAAGTGACGATTTCTATTGAATTATTAACAAACAAAAAAAAAACTTATTTAAATTTATCAATTGGAATATTATTATTTTTATGCTTTGAAATAAATCAATGATAATGGCAGATTTTCATATTAATTTATCGTGACGATATTAATGTATTATCAATTTTATTTAGTTATAAGTAATGATATTCTATCGAGTGTAGCATATGATTGACATAATTTCTTTTATGTACAGTGGTCTCGGTAGTATCGTTGGCCTTTTAAAAACAGGCTCTAAAAGTTTATTTATGTTCGATGAAAATGGTCTTCATTATCAGCTTAAACCACGATGTATTCTAGACTTTTATATTCATGAATCTCGACAACGTATGGGTTTGGGAAATGAACTCTATCAATACATGCTTTCTGTAAGTATTTATTGTTATTATGCGAATACTCACAAATAAATAACATCAATAATTTATAGCTATTGATATATACTCGATTCTTTATCATTAAATACTTATTATTTTATTCTTATCGGTATATTTAATACATTTGAGCGTATTATAAAACTGAATTATAATTTTCCTATTATATTTTCGTTTTTCTATCATAATGCTTTTATTAATATTATTAATAATTATAATACATTTGTCTTACAACGCCTTTCATCAAAGTCGTACAAACAATTCATTATCATATAAAAATACCAATTAACTTTCAATATATATTTGTTAATAAATTACAGGATGAAAATTTGAAACCTATTAAATTGGCAATAGACCGCCCATCGGATAAATTTTTAGCGTTTCTTAAGAAGCATTATGGACTTACATCAATAATACCACAAAATAATAAATTTGTTGTGTTTAAAGGTTTCTTCGACGATGGTAAGTTTTTTTGTAATATAAAAATTATTTCATATTTAACTGCGAATTAAAAATTTAAATTGCAAACTTATAAGGTTATATATAAGCCAATCTAAATTAATTTATTATATTTGCAGCTAATGTATCTTAGATATTATTTATCAAAAATTATTTAGGTATTTTAATTAGTAATTTGAGTTTTAATCAGTTTAATATTACTTGATTTGATTAATATTGTAAATGAAATGATAATTAAAATTTTTACTATTTATAATAACAACATAAATATTTTTTTTCACTAAGCGAAGTAATAAGAATTTCTTTCAAATAATTTTATTGTTAACAGAATTTGAGGATCCGAAAAAAGCCGGTAAATATACATGTTTGGCATCACTCAATAAGCAATCTACCGAATATAATATACACTCAAATAATTTTGTGGATGTTCATTCATCGAAGCCGAGGTAAATTATTTGTAATGTTTTTAATTTCAGCACAACTTAATTTTCATTCGCTAATTTACTGATTATGTTTGAATATAAATAAACATTCAAATTGACTTATAACTGTTTTGTAAAATTAAAAAAATTTATAAATATTAGGCTCAAGTTTTTATAACCATAAATTGATAAATTTCTTGTTGAGTTATTTGCTTCTTATTATTATTTATACTATTATATTTCTCTATTATAGTTTCTTTAAGTTATCCATGATTAGATTATGTATTTAAGATACATTATAAAATATTTAAAATAAAACATTTGCCGATATTTTTAGATATTTAACAAATATAAATTCTATTGTAAAATTATAAAATTATTAACTATATTTGATTTTATTTCATAGTATGTCCCATGTCACAGTATGTCCATTCCGACATTATGTAGTAATATTAATTTGGTTAATTTTTGTATAATTGATGTACTTGAAAAGCATATTATTAAATAACGATTATTCATTATAATATATTACAATAGAGTGTATTATACGTTAAAATAATAATGCATAATAAATGCAATTAAATGATTTAATTGTTACAAGCATTACACAGAATATTTCAAATTTATACAAAATATTCAAAATGTTTACTTAAACTCTTAAATTGTAATAAATTTATCACATATCATAATTTATAAATTAACCGATTCATACATTTAAAATAAAAATCTGTTTTATTAATATTTACCATACATAATATTTTATTACCAATTCTTATCTAAATTTTATTTAAACAATGAAAATTCTATATTTCTAGATTAGGCTAACTTTAATTAATTTATACAAAATAAATTATGATATCATAATTTAATTGCATGATTTCTTTTATAAAACAATTTAAGTACTTCTATCATTGTATAAATATAATTTTTCAATGAAACATAAGTAATTGCTTTTTTGAAAAAAAATACGGTTTTTAATGTAACAATTCAACACGTAAAATTTTAAATAAAATTTGTATTCTTTATGTATATTAAACTTTTTTATTATGTTAAACTTCTTTCTCATTTTTATATATGCAGATTATATTCTTGGTACATTTTTCTATAAAATGTATTAAATTACAAATAATTTAATTTATTATATTCAGATAATTATCATTCAACATACATATCTATGTTCTATACTTCTTAGTTCATGAAATTTATATTAAATTTAAAAAATGAATTTTAATATTTTTAAAAGCAATATAAATACACAATATATATAATATTTGTGTCATATATTTTTATCATTTTAAAGTCTTATTAATAGTATTGATTAAAGAATGATATTACATTACTTATCTGTTAAACATTTTCTTACAGAAATTGTGACTGTTGCTTGATAGATCGTATATTAATAAATTTATTACTATTAATATATTTACAGATTGAATTGCTATATAAAAATGAAATAGATGAAAACAGATGAAAAGAAATTTCTTTCTAATGCTGATATCTTCTTCAAAATATTAAAATACGATATAAATAAAATCAAAATATTCCGATATAAATAAATTTATAAAACATTTTAGGAAAAATTATTCTGATATATTTTTCTGATTTCACACAAATATGTGCATATAATATGCTTCATTAATGGCGCCGATAATACATTTTTTCATTGGAATATTATTTATATTAACTTATTTTTTTTTCATTTATACTTTAATCTATATAAAATAAAACAAAAAATTTAATATTATATCCATACTACGATATATAAAACCGATTTCACTTGAAAACTTATTTTTATTAATAAAACCGATTAAAATATTTTAATAAATATATTAATTATTTTTATAATTTCTTATTCACTTTTAATAATAATTTATATATCTATATTGAGTTCTGATACTATACCATATATTTAATATAATATAATATAAATGTATTGGTAAATTATTTATTTTATACACATTTAATTTATTTAATAAATATATATTCTTAATATGCTAATATAAATATATTCAGTTTAAAAGTAAGTAAATTAATTTTGTAAATATGCGTATATATGTTGTTTACATTCACTTGTTAAGTTTACTTATTAAGTTAAACGAATTTATTCGAATAATTTTTTTGTCTTTTTAAAACTCTTTTTTTTTTTAACACAACTGACATAATATTCTTATTATTTATATAAAAATTATTATAATCATATTTTAATTTTACTATAGCTCGTATATCTTTTGCGGATTAACGACCAAATTTAGCAAATCAAAATTTCTATAAAATTATCTGCCATGTTTTTGATATATTCCCCATATTTATTTAATTCAGCTTTTAAGTTGTCAATATTATACTTATGTGCATTTAATTTGAAATAATTTTCATTGATAATGTATGAGTCGTTGATCGAAGAAATATTAAAAAAAATTACTATATACTGAATAAAATATCTTAATTATGATTCATAGAATATAAATAGTTTGAATGTACAAATGGAATCATACTTAGCCATTCTTAGATCGTGGCAATTATTATTATACATTTATTTGGATAATAAATATAAATTTATAAATAAACTTTTTATATGATATCACTTAATAAAAGTCTATTAGTGTTATGCAAATGATATATTCCCTATTTTTATATATTATAGAAATATATATCTTATTTTCTTATTATACTATAAATTTCATTGATGTTGATATTGGTTTTAACTAATCAGTAATTAAATAAATTTTTTCTAATAATGCTTTGATAATTAACTTAAGAAATAATAATTTATGTTATTATTAAATTATGTTTTTCAAATTTTGCTAATAACTATTCGAAAACGAAGATGCTTATTTACTTCAAAAATTTCCGATATTAATTTTTACATATTATTTGCAGTTAATTTAAATAGGGATAAAGCAGCGATATATTAATTAAAAGTATTTTTGACTGAAATTTACATTTACGAAAAAATATGTGATGAGTTTTTTAATAAACAATATGTATAATGTAATGATAATAAATATTAAATATTGCAAATTAACATAAACAAAAGTTTGTGTGTATAAAATAGACCATTCATAAAATGAATATTTCTTTTTGACACTTTAGAATGATACAAATTGTTGCTAATTTTACTTAGCCTATAATTCATAATTGATTACATTAGCTTTAATTATTATTTTTCGTATATTTAGTTTTTTTTTTCTAAAATTAATATAGTGAAATTATTAAATATTTCAGAAGATTGCTTTCCCATTTGCACATTTATAATGTAGCATTTGAACATATATTATGAAATTATTATAAAGAATAAAATTTATGTAAGGATTATGAATTTAATCAGTTTAGCTATTTATAACATATTATTGAATAGTTAATAAGGTAGATTTAATGTTTATTTAATTTCAATTATTTCTGTCACTAGTAAATTTCTATATATTATTAATAGCATTTGTAATTAATTTTTATTAATAAATTTCTAATTTTTGTTAATGATAATAAAAAATTAGTATTAATGGAACGCCAATAACACGAAGTGCATATGGCCGATATGCCGCATCCCGTCCACCCTGTTCCATGGCGAATGTAAGTAATAATGAATTTATAAAATTTTTTTATTTACAGTACAATGAATACATACAAAACTTACGATATAATAAGAATATATATATATATATATATATATATATATATATATTATAATATAAACGATGCTATATTTATTTATATAGAAACTTTAATGGTATATTTATCTATGCTCGGTATACATTATAATTAATGAAAATGTATTTGTAACTTAACAAAATTAACTTAACAAAATAATTTGATAATAATTGAAGTATTTTGTCGATTTTATATTAAAGGTGAAAATTTAAATATGCAAATGTATGTTTAATGTATAATTTTACATTACGTCATAAATGCCATTCAATATTAAAATATATTGGTATTCATTTGCGGATTTGTAAAATGGTATTCGACTTATGGTCATTAATGTATTCAAGTCAAATTTATTTTTCTCTAGATCATACACAATACCGCAGCAAACGAACAATCTACAGAGCCAATGAGGTATGTAACGTAAATATAATTTTTATAATAGAATATAATAATTAAATTTTTTGTAAGTTTCCAATGTTATTATTGAAAATTATGAGAACCAACACTTTTTAAACATTTGATTAACAATGATTATTCTAAATAATTGTTAAAAAAACGATTATAGGATATAATGTAAAATATGTTATTATAATCAATATGAATTCAATAAATGAATATTATAATTATATTTTACATTTCACTTATGCAAGAATTCTTTTGATCTAGAATTTTCTTATAAACTAGTTTTTAAAGTACGCTGTTATGGTGTTTAAAGTATACAATAAAATAAAATTATAACGGAAAGAAAAATTTAAAAGTTATTAATCTAAATAGGCAAAACACGAAAAAATTACGGGTAAATATAATCAATATATTTACAAATAAATTTACAAAAAAATCCAAAAATAAATATATAAATAGTATAATTACATATTCCAGTATTTATTAAAATTTATATTTTAAAGTTGGTAATGATTTCTATAAAAACAGCATATATCTATTTATAAATTTAGATTATTTAAAATGTATATAAAAAATTGACTTCATTCGTCGCGAATAAGTGATGTTTGGTAAATATTTTTTTTTTTTTACCTACAAAATTATACAAAAATATTTAACTTATACTAATTATCGAATTTTACTAATTTTTAGTTTTACTTTTTTTTTTTTTTTTTTTTTTTTAAACAAATGCTATAACAAATATGATCATAACACATAACAACATAATACATAGATATTTTTGTTTTATTAGATATTAGTTTTGATTTCTTGTTTTCATTTTATTTATTCTTAAATTTTTTATTTTTTAGGTATAATAAAATGTGAGGCATCTACTTATAAAAAAAATTTTATTTAAAGAAAATTATGATGACAACTTAGTTTCGATTAATTAAGCATTATATATATATATATATTTTTTATTTCAACAAATATAAAAGTCTTAGACATAAATACACACATCTAGTTGACGGTGACGGTGAAGCTTTAGTTTATTTTATTTCTACATGCAATGTGAATATTTACCATGTTTTTTTTTTTATAAACATGTATATTTACCAAGTCAATCTAACTGCCTTAATATAATGTAAGGATTTTATTTGTCGATAATTGTTGAGGATTGTTATTGTAATGCTTATATCAAATATACGTACTGTGATTTTTATTATTTACATTTTTATGGAATAAATCAATATTATTTGTATAAATTCGTTTACAAAGTACGGTAAGAACTAATTCTATAATAACAAAATTTCCTCTACAAAATTTAAAAATATTGTACTTAAATTGTTGTAAAGAAAATTAATTAGATGAAAAGCAATGCACTTACGTACTAATAATATTAAATATAAGATTCGATGACTTATTGTGTAAGCAATGGAAAGAAAATTATAAAAATTTTATGATAACTGTTGATAATTATTTTGAATTTTATTAAAGTTAACTACTATATGAATAAAATTATAAATTTTTATCGTACAAAATTAATTATTTAATAAAAATTTTCTCGGTTTTAAACAGCCATAAAAATGTTACTTCCATAAAAATGTATCCATTTTTTGTATAATCATGACGATAGAAAATTATTAAAATTATTTATTTATTTGATTTTATTTATCAATGTATTTTACATGTACAATAGCTATAAATTTTGTTGAAATACATTATTGTAATTTTTTTTTCTGATTTATTTATCACATTTTATACCTAAATGTTTATTTGTTCAACCATCTTTGTTCATCTAAGACAAATTTAATTTTTTTCAGGTCTTATGATTTATTATTCAAGGTAAACGCTTTTATTTATTTCTAATTTTTTATTTTACTACACTACGTTACTACATTACATTGTCGAATTTGTAATTTAGACGCGAAATTTGTTGACTATTACGATAACTGAAACAAGCCATTAATATAGTGTAAAAAGGTGTTACAAAATGATGGATTAGATCGATTGAATTTTACTTTTTAATTTTTACTTAAGGTTGATATAGATTCCCTCACGGTAATCCTATATTCTTTATAGTTACTAAGATTTTTCTTTTATCTCAACCTATTAAATGTAACGCAAAAATTTATTTCCTTCTGTTTTTTTAGGTCTTCTAATTTATATATAGACATTAGATTTTGTTAATTTGATTATCTCAATGGAGATACAATTAGATTCTTAATATAAATATATAGGACTCCATGTTCTAATTTTCAAATTTTCGTATTTATATAAATTCAATAAGGTTTTTATGTTATTTATGTTATTTATGTCTAAATATAATAGTAAAAGACATTTTAAATTTAAATGTTAAATTGTCAATTATTTATATTAAATTTTAAATTGTCAATACATTTAAAAATGCAAATATATTATATTTTACTTATATTAATGCACATTGTAACTAATATTAATCAAAAAATTTTTTATTATTATATTATTATTATTATTATTATTATTATTATTAAAGTGAGTCAGTATTATTTAAGGAATAATCGAATATGATTAAAAATAGCGATGAATCTTTTCTCTGTAGCCAAAAAAATAATGCGAACGTATTTGAAGTCATAGAGAATTGCATAAAAAAATTTATCTTTGATGTGTGTTGTAATTGATGATTTCCTTAGTTACTTTGTATCAATGTTTTTCACTTCTATATACCATTTATCTTTAAAGTGATCCCATAACTTAACTTTTATGGATTCGATGTTTCGTACTCTTGTAAATAAATACATACGAAGTTCTAGATATCGTGATCTATGTTTTATATTTTATTTTAATCCATATCAGTAGAATGTCTTGCAATTAAATTGATTTTAACTATTCTTCAGGTTTATTTATTTATTTTTAGTGAATACTTCCATCGTCTTATGGTAATTCTGAATAATTTGTAAGATTTCGAAATTATTAAGAATTTTCATGGTTTTTCGTAAAATTAATCTTACTTAATGATCATTGCAAAACGTCTGTAGTAAGAATTGATGCTCTTTTTCTCGGATTTTGGAACTTGAAATTGATGTTATAATTTATAAAACTAATTATTGATTTTTTTTGTATTAACTTGAGGATTAAATAAAATAATACGTAATTATTATAGGATAAGCATCAGTTAAATCATATTTTTCTACCAAACAGGCTAAAAGGTTACTTATCGTCGAAATATTTAAAGACAATTAATTTATTTTCAATTGTAACAATACTATAAAATCTCAACATAAAAAAAATGAAGTATTCCATTATTTATTTGGTGTATCATAAATTTTTAAATAATCAACAAGTGTTCAATTACGGATTTAAATTTAATATGTAGACATAATATTAAGCCGTTAAATTATTATTTTAAATTTATTATAGACCATCGGCTACAGAAATAAAAATGGAGTTATTCGAACGTCCAGACAGTCTAAATCTTTATGCTAAAGAAGACGAGAAGCAAATAGTTGACAACGATATCAGAGGCATTAATAGTGGTAGTATAGTAAACGAACAAATGGCACCAATAGAACAACTTTCGTTGAAAGATTTTCAGAATACAACTTCACAGGTTATCGACAAACCGGATTTATTACATGATGAAATTTCAGGAAATACTATATCAAACGATAAGTATTTGCAAAGTGAAATAACGAATCAAAATAAATCTGCATCGCCATCGTGCTCTCAAGAAATTATTGAAAATCAACAGCCGTCAACTGGCCATCTTGATCTTAAATTTTATCATTCCCCCTTATGGTAACTAAATATTTAAATATAGTCGTCACTTTTAACGGTTTTTCCACTCGACACAGCTTAAATGTTATAAATGTTTAATATTTTTATGTAAACGTGTGAAAATTAATAATTAAGCTAATGTAAAATTACAATTATAAATCATATAAGCAAGTATTATCATTATCAGCTCGTATTTGTGTATTTTCAAGATAAAATTTAATGAACATACGAGAAATATTTCTCGATTATAAAATTTAATTTTTAAGGAACTTTGATTGCAAAAATTTATCTTCTTATGTATAATAATAATTTGGAACATGTTATGAAAATATTAACTATTACATTAATGTTTACTATTATTATTTACAAAGTAGTTGCGAACAATCTAGTGTTTACAATTTTACCAAGTCCAACTCAAGTTTTTCAATATAAAGTAAAATCATACTCAACGTACATTCCAAATATATTTTATACACAACATACAACATATTCGAAATTATCAATAAAAAGAAAATACAACTGCACGATATCTTATTAAGATCGAGAAAATAATAGTAGACAAATGATATTTATTATATTATTACTAATATTAAGAATATAAATAATCTACAAAAATAAGTCCCAATTCTTTTAATTAAAAAAAATTTTTTTTTTTTAATTATTACAATGTGGTTTTCTATTTTCAAAAAAAAAAAAATTACTCTAAAAACTTTAACGTTGAAGCAAGATGTTATTATCAATAGTAATATAAATCAACACTGAAATAAAAATATATAAAATATAATCTCAAAAATTTATTTATTATTTGAATCACATTTTTATACTTATTTTATTATTTTTTCCTATTTACATTACAAAAGTTTCAGTGAAATTTAAATATTATTCTTAATTATTATTTATGATTGGTAGAATTATTATAGAAATACACTAAATAAATGATCAAAGTATTCATATTTTTTCAAATAATAAAATGTTAAAAAATATATACATCTATTATATTAAATTAAAACAAATCATTATATTAAAAATGTTTAATTTTATTTCAAAATTAATTAATATTTAACGGATTTTTCTGAATTATTAGCATATTAAAAAGTAGAAATACATATTTAAATTTTACTAATAAAAAAATCATCTATTCAAAGTTTAGTAAAATAATTTAGAATATTTTTTAAAGAGTTTTATTTAATTTTTACATTTATATTTTTATATTTAAACTTTGCTTAATATTTCATGATTTTTTGTTAATCTTATTAAAATAATTTAAATATTAAACGGCATTATAATAAAAATATTTACATCGAGGGATATCAAAAAATAAAATTCAAAACTCTTAGCAAAACATGTAATTAATTTTTATTTCTTACATCGTAATAATATACTTGAACAATTCATTTTTTGCTATAAAAGTTCGTTAAAACTAATCATATTTACATAAATATACGTTGTACATGTGTACAGCTTTCTGCTGAAAGTTGTCCATAAAATGAATTCCATTCATTTGGAAAATCCATTTGAACCAGTCGTATGAATACAGCAATGACTTGCTTCGTTTCTGAAAGAATTAAATGCCGATTAAAAATATTAGCTCATTCAAAAGCTCAGGAAAATAAAATGAAATGCCATTTTACCATCATCTATATTTGTATTCTCAAATACATCAAGAGAAATTTTAAGAAGTCTATTTATATGCGGTTTCAATATTGTATTCCCATTTCTATATAATACAAGAACCGACTTAAAAACAGTCTTGTTCTCTTCCAAATCGTCTTTTAATGGCAGATGGTTAACGAATACAGGAAAAACTTGTTCTAGTGGTATTATTGTATGATTAGTAATTATAAGCCGAGCTATAGCACCAATAATATTATCTCGCGCTCCACCATGTGCTTCTTTAGCTATCGCAGTGGAGAGAACTTGAAGTATTTGAAGATAATGCCTTTATTAATACAATGTTAGGAAAAATATTTTTTTTATTAAAATATGTTATGTCACTGAAAAATAATGGTAATTAAAAAGAAAAAAAAAATATGTTGTTTTTTAAGCATCACAATATTTAGTTAATACAAATTGATGGTATTTCATAGAATTTTCAATGAAATCTAATTACTGTTAAAATTTAGAAAAAACGATTATCGTTTCTCTTAAACTAAAATGATTTTTTTGTATTTTATATTTTGCACTGATATAAGTTTGTTCGCGATTATACGTAAAAAATAATAAAAACTTTAATTGTAGTTTAAAATAAGACAAAGGATACGGATATACAGTTTCTTTTCCATAAAATGCTAATTCACCAAGTCCAAAAATGGCATTGCTGCGAACTTCATTGCAAGTATCGTTTGTAAATTTAACAAAAATTGGAAATAATTCAGTTACAAAAGCTGATACTTGTTGCTTTAATGCTGGAAGGCACTCTAAAATTGTACCAATACTAAACGATCTCTGAGCTTCAGAAAAATTGTTTCTCTATAACATATAAAAATCATTATTTTCAATTGTCAATACAATATTAAATGTACATGCATAAATTTTCATGAAAAATTCTTTTATATTTCAGTTAAATGCTATTTTACAGTCTTATTATTAATAAATAAATATTATTTTAAGTCACTTTCAATATTAATCTTATGGTTTTGTGTTGCATACATAAATGAAATTAAGTCTAATCCAACAGATGGTGAGCTTTCACTTTACTATCCGCATGTCATAAAAATGTGATATACATAGTATTTTCAATTAAAACCTGTTGCTCCGTACATTTATATATACAAAATTACAAAAAAGCTTAGATTATACTATCGCTATAAATTATACATACACATAGATTTATAACGATTTATATAAAGCGCGCGCGCAATCTCATTCAGAATTAGTATAATCTTAGCTTTTAATTTGATTGCAATATTTAGAAAATATTGAGAAAACTTAATTTCAAAACGTTAAAAATTCAAAATTCAAAATTCAAAATAAATTCAAAATAAAATATAAAAGAAGCTAATACCAATCGTTTAATGAGTATTGGAAATATCGTTTGCAGGTATAAAGCAAAATCTTCAGAAGAAATAACTTTTCCTAAATTCGTCAACAACTGACCAGCACACTCAAATAATAACTCGTCATGTTCAGCTTCACCCTCATCTCCATCTCCTTCAGTTCCTAATCCATCGGGATCTTGACATTCTGTGCGTCCTATAAATAATTCATATTTATTAATTGTTTAGTCATTTAATAGAACCAAATCTCGAAACATTTTATTTTATTTTTCCTTTAAATATACTAATAATGTAAAATGTAATTTAAAATTCTGTTCAAATGTAAATTCAAATATTATAGTAATTGAATAACTTTATTTTGAATAAAAAAAAAAATACTATTTCATATAATATTTTACAAAGTTTTAAAAGTTTAATTTTGCCGAAAAATTACATTTCTAATTTTGTTATAGTACACGTATTTTTAAAGCTAAATTTTCATTAAATATATCTTTATAATAAATATATTTGAGCATTGCATTACTAATAACACGTTTTTTACATTTAAAGATTATTGCATGTAATGGTGGTTGCTTTATCGAATGTATTTTATTGACTTTCAATCGAAGGGCTTATAATTTAAATAATACAGTCATGCATTCAAAGTAATGTAAATTTCTTTTTCAAATTTATATTAAGACGAATATGGTACAAATATGATATTCGTTGTACTAGGAATAATTAAATTATAAGAAATAAATTAAAAATCAAATCGATTTTAAAACTATTAATTGAAATTCTGTTACTTTTTTCTTTAAATTTCAATGTAACACAGTTCGAGATTATATAAAATTAGTTAAATTAATGACTTATTTATATACTCATTAGATACTTAATGAAAATACGAAAACACGAGAACATTATATTTGTTAATACAAGCAATATACGTTAATATAGGCAAACCATATGTGTTTCACACCTAGCATGACGTCAGTAATACAGTTCATTATAGCTTCCTTATGACCGGTACCAACGAGCATGTTAGACTTCAACTGTTCAAGTAATTCAGAACATGCATCTAATGCTTGCATAACTACACTCCTTTCCTCATCAAGTCGTATTAATTCAGATAGCTTAGGCATGAACACTGTAAGAGCTTTTTGAGTGGCTTGTTTACCCTCGTGTGTTTCTATTTTTGAAAAGTTAATACAAAATTGCATCAATGCATCCACAGTTGCTTTTCTGATATCCTCTAGTGGATAATTGATAAGTTTAAAGACTTCTTCAAAGGATCTTTCTAAATATGGTATGAATGCTTCTCTGCAAAAAACAAATTCTATTAGGTATCGAAAAGACTTTATAATTAATTACATTCCACACGTAATCATAAGAAAAGGCGTAATTTACTTAGTATGTTCAGCAATTTCTCTTAAAGCTAATATAGCTTCTTCTTTCTCTTCGACATAGGCATTCTCTACACTGTAACCAGCAAAGTCTTCATCATTATCGTCATCCTCATCTTCATTATCAGTATTTTCAATATCCTCTTCGTCATTTTCACTGTCGCTCAAATCTTCATAAACTAAATAGTCTGAGTTTTCATCATCTTTGAAACGTGTCTAAGAGAATTTTATATATTTAAATTACTTTTTCTCATCAAATGAAAAAGTTTTGAACAACAACAAAATAATTACCACAATTCCTTCAGAACTTTGGATACTCGTAATCATGTATTCTACAATAATTGGTAGAACAAGAGACATTTCTTTTTTTATTACAAGACTAATAGATGCTAGGAGGCCATAAACAGATTTCTTCAAATCAGGATCATCCGTATCTTCTAATAAACTCATTCCTATTTCAAGAGATTTCATAGCTAAAGGAGCAAAATTTTCTTCTCCTATAGTTCTTGCCAAAACACCCAGAGTATCTACAATATTTATAAAACAAAATATAAAAGGCTTACAGCAATAGGGGAATGAAATTTTCATCTAATATTAGGTTTATATGTATTATATATATATATATATATATATATATATATATATATACTTATATGAAATTTTACCTTACCTACTGCCTGTATCAACAAACACATATTTTCAATGGTTTGCTTTTCTACTATTAAATATCGTAGAAGTATATCAACAATTTGTTTAAAATATGGAAGCATATGCTCTTTGCTTGCATTTGCTGCAGCACCAATTGCACTCAATGTAAGCTCGCATATATGTACTGGGCTATTATTGTCTAAAAGTATATCAAACAGTATTATCATAAGTGTAGGTAAATAAGGCAACAGTCCTTCGTTCAGATTTTCTGCAAAAATTTCAAGAGCATAGAACATTCTGTCGACAGAGGCCAAGTCTATTTTTTCTAGTCGAATCTGAGCAGATATTTGGCTCAAATATTGGAAAAGAATGGGAAGTAGTTCGTCCGCATAACGACTTATTTCTGGTTGTAAATGTTCTGAAAACTGACCGAGGGCAAAGAGGGCTGCGTTTCTAACAACGGGTGCTGAATTGGTAATGCCTTCGCAGATGCATTTTAAAAAAGTTTCAAGATATTTATTTCGAATATATTCAGAACAGCCTTCTGCTAGAACAGCCATCGATAAATACGATGCTTTCTTGGCACATACATTAGTATCTTCGAGACCAAGTTGAATGTGTTTTAACTAAAAAATTTTTAAGTAAATATTACTGCTACTTTAATAATTCTGTACGATCGAATCTATACGTACCAAATGTGGAAGCAACTTTTCCGGAGGCAAATGCAATGCTAATAAATCAAGTGTTTGGGTGGCACTAGTAATGGGTGAATTATCGTTCTTTCCAGTAAAGTAAATTTCTTGATTTTCATCGTCTGGTTGTGTACACATTTGCGTGAATAGCATATCTATACGACAGAGAGATGAAAATGAAAGATTTTTATATGTATCTGATATAGATAGGGTAGAATTTATATTTTATTAGAATAGATTAAAAGATAAAAATTTGAAATTAAAACATATGCAACGATGAATGTATTTAATTTTTATATAGCAAAATAAATATAAAAAAATTATGTATTTAAATTTCACTCGTTTTCTATAAATAAAAGCTTTACATATTTTAATAACTATTGAAAATATTTAATACTTAGGCTCTTCGAATTTATCAAATTTATTTTAAATTTTCAAAGTATAATTTCATTCGCACTACACACTAAATACGGATAACCATATATTTTAATCTTAAAATTCTTAAACAAAAGAGAATAAGGAAGAAAAAAGAGAAAAACGATCAGTGAAAATATAGTTTTTCAAAAATAGATAATTTCATAAATTAAACATTGTCTTTAATGTAAAAATACAATAATAGTAAGTTACTATTTACCTATTATTGGTTCAACCAGCTTATGTTTCACAATAGCTTTCTTTTTAATTTTAGCAAGCCAACCTATAAATGAAACTGCTTTGATCTTAAGATCGTCGTGTAATGATTTACTATTAGCAATAAAAAGGCACATTTCGATCAAACTTTTAATGTGCGGCGAAATAACCGTTGGAGCGCATTCACATAATTCATCCAATAATTCAAAACCTTTTATTGCTTTTCTTTCATTTACAAGGGTTAATGCTTGAATTATTTGCATTATTCGAGGTATCATGTGATGATAAGCATTCACTATCTATAGGCAAAAACAAATTATACACTATTATAATGTCCACATTTATAAGCGGTAAAAAATAATTATTAGATATTATACTTGCAATCTGATTTCCTCCTATAAGTGGAACGAGATTTAACATTGTGTCTAAAATATAACACGATACTGGATTTGCTAATTCGGTAAATGTATTTAATGTATTATTTAATAATTCCATGACCGTTTGAACATGATGTAAGTACGTATTTGGTGCTATTTCTGTCATTATTGATAAAGTATACATTCCCAGCTATAATCATATATTCATTACTAGTATTAGATAAACAATTTCAACGATAAATTGAAACATTTTTCTTACCTCCTGATTTGTCGGGTTCCCGCTTGTTATTAATTGCCGTATATATTGCAAACACTCTGGCCATCCATTCTGCGGTAATTCGTGTTTTATTATAACTCCAATAAGTTGTGCGATTGCATTCTTGACCGATTTTTCTGTTTCTTGCACAAGAGCCTAGCCACAAAATATAAAATACATACTTTACTATATTTCTTAAATAATTGCAATGGACTAAATTCTTTTAATTACCTGTAAAAGAACGGCTTTGAATTCTGATCTTATTTCTTGGGATAATTGTGACCAGCATTTTATCTTGTTATAACGTTTTCTCAACAACAAGGCTGCATATTGTCTAACCTGACAGTGCAAATAACAATATTGTCACGCCATGGCTATCAGAGAAATAAACGATTAAATGTTGATTCGTATTACCTGTACAGTTTTTGAATTGACGATCAATTGATAAAGCAGCTGTGTACTTTGTGGATTTTTAAATGCTTCTTTGAGCTGAGCAGTAGCCTAGACAGAGTTTTAAAAAATTCATAAATGAGATAATACATTCCACATTATAATACAAAGTTTTTCATAATTTTAGTCGTACCTAGTTCAATAATGATAAATATTGGCCCAATAAACTTATAATAATTTATTCGAGTTCTCTTAAACAGTTATCTTAACGATACAAATTTATAGTAAATCCAACGCAGATACTATAAAATTCTTAAATTATGCTAGAGAAACTAAGCTTGGTTAACTAAGCTTCGATTAAATGTTATAAACATTAATAAATAAATTTCATAAACATAATCGTTTACTTGGTGTCATGCCAATTAATCATTTGAAACATCAAAGGTGATAATTAATTGTTAATAAATTAAAACATATGTCAGTAAAACAATGCACCATTATAAGGTACACACGGTGCTTTTAAATTAAGAATATAATTACGCGGTACTTAATATTATATCCGAAATCAATTATTTCGTACTTATTTACATAGCTTAAAGTACATATAAAAACACGTGTTTTTACAAGAACGCTCGAGCGTACATTGCAATTCAACTAACCTGATGAATAACTGCTGTATCAGTAACCAATAAATTCAATATTATTTCTTCCATTTTTTTAAAACTTTTACATTCAAAACAATAACGCTGTCACTAGTAATTAAGTATATTAAGTGTGCGTAATATTGCTTAAAACTGAAACGGTGCACGATCTCTCTGACAAAGTTGAACCGAAAACCCAACCGGCTAATTTAGAAGTAACCAACTGTTTACGTAGAGCAGAAGAGTTGAAACTAAAACCTGACATAAGGACACAAATTATAGTCCGAGACGAGGTAATAGACAATCAAACAAAAGTGTTTGGAAAATTGAGGCAAATTTATAAAAGGTTATAACCACGTTCTCGCGTGCTTTAAACGAAGTGAAATAGCTAAGTTAAGCGAGTAAGTAAGTTTGTGCATACACAAGACAAGACGAATAGTGAATGGTAGAACATCGGGGGATGGGAAAAGATGGAAGTGTACTTATACTCTGTGGTGTAAGTGATGCAATCGTCACCTGCGCTCGAAGCGATAAAAGTCTCGTTTTATTGGCAGTCGTTGACGCGCCGAATATAAGTGAATAATCGAATGCGACAAGAGAACTGTCGTAACAACAATGAAGCAAGTGATGGAACAAGACGCAGTGCGTGACAAAATATATTAATTTTTCAATTCGCGTGTTGTACGATACGCGGATAAATAAAGTGCCGAATGGCAAAATTACGCGTAATAGGTAATTGAATAAAGCTTATTATATGTTGAGTATAATGTTAAAGGAATAAGATATTTACCAACGAGACACGCTTCATTTTTACTTGCGCAATCATTAAACGTAAAATAATACATAATATAATGTGTGAGTAATAATGATAATGATAACAATAATAAGAATAATGATGATAATAATAATAATAATAATAATAACAATAATAATAACAATAACAATAACAATAGTAATAATAATAATAATAATAATAATAATAATAATAATAATAATAATAATAGACAAAGGAAATAGAAGATTTGGAAATATCTTAGAGTTTGTTATTAAGAGCTTCCTCCATATCAAAATAATGCTGGCCTTTAATATGGATAAACTTATTATCGACGTTCTTCATACATATATTGTTTACATACGCTTGACTTATCCACACCACCCCATTGGCGTTAAATCGTCCTGCTGTCGTTATGCATAATAGATGAGCATAAGTCGCGGAGTCCAACGGGGCAGTGACGGTGTGGATCGGAGGGGATCGGCCGGGTCGTTGCGGGACGAACGACGGTCAAGGGTGGGGAATGGGCTGCGCGCGAGAAAACGCACATGTTCATCCGCGTCATTATGTCATAAATCGTTGTGAAATGACTCCGCTAGGGGGCGGTAGCTTAGCCCGTACACCCACTTTAATCGATTGTCCTCGTCCAATGCTTATCGGCGATCTCTCTTGGTGATCTCGTTATTCGTGTCAATGGGGGCTGCCGTCGTATTGCCGCCCATATTTATCATGTCTATGCCATAATTCGGCGCCAGAAAGACAAAACACGTGGGAGCAATGTAAAAAGGCCCTGAGAATACGAACTGTTAGTGCAAAATTAATCTCTTGAATTATCAATATGTTGATTGTTGAGAGATCAACGAATTGTCGATGAGTTGAAGTTAAAGGGCACTTGTCGCGCGTCCGTTTGCTAGTTGTTTGCCAACCGCAGAGACGGGAGTACGACGTTTTTATTTGTACTGCCAGGCTTCTTCGATACGCTTTTTCAGCATAAATTTTTAAAGGTTAGCTCAGTTACGTTTCAACATTTACAAATCCGCACGAGAATGCGTGTTACATTTCAACTCTCGATTTCAACACCGGATATTTAATTATAACATAAACAACATATTATATATATATATTACGCATGCATTGTGTGTACGTAAAGTCATTTCATGGTTATTAAGATTAAATGTTATAGCAAAGGATAGAATAATATTGCAATTTAAATAATACGACTGTCGATAAAAGCTGACATTTGAAAGTCGTGCCTATAAGCCGAAGAAATAAAAAAAAAAAAAATATATATATATATATATATATATATCCATTCTATTATAATGGCCATGTGGCAATGATGCACTATGCAAATATAATCGATTGGTATTATGATGCAATAAATTAATAATATTTCTTCTTCTCCTTATTATTAAGTGCATCATTATTTTAATTATTAGTTTCGTTTTGTTGCCGCGAGAATCGTTAAAGCGCATGTCATGAGCATCGAATTATTACAATTTACCATCGTATATATGGATAATTGTGCAGAAAATAAGAGAATAAAATATACAGCTGCGCGTGAGTTTATCTATCGTTGGTCTTTAATTTAAAATCAAATTCATCGACGAAATCCTTATTTTTAACGATAATCACTTTCCGACTCTACAGACAGACACATTCTAATCGATAAAATAAAATTCTTTTTAATATAAAGGAGTAAAATATTTTGAACAGCTTTTCCTTAAAATCAAAATTTTTCCTATAATATTATCAATTAATTATCATTATATTTTCCGTAGGTTGAATTTCAAAAATTCAAAAATTTAGTTTTCACTACAATTAGTACTCAAAAAATTGAGAATAAATAGGCTCAAAATTAATTTAGCAGTAAATTTAGACATTAGAATATAATTAGCGAATAATTTAGCCCAGCTTTAACATTATCATTATCATTATCATTATCATTATAATAATTATTATTATTAAGTATTTTCAATGAGAATATTAATTGGAAAATTTTTTTATAAAAATTCTAGCTCGGCGTTCGTTGAAAGTATAAAAATATTTTACTAGTGTTTGCATAGTAAGTTTTCGCTTGAACTCATTCAGGTATCTTGGGAGTTATATTTTTATGCATTTTCATTCTACTATCGCTGAACCACTGTTTGTTCGAAAATAATATTTAACTTTATTATAAGAGAATTAAGTATTATAGTTATTTGACAAATTAAATGTAAATTATAATTAATTAAAGATCTACGATTAACATATTTATAAGATTTAATAACAATAAGTATATCTCTATATACCGTGTTATTGAAAATTATAGACAAATAAGAACATTTTTTTATCAAATAAAAACTGACGAATAAATGTTCATTATTAAAGAATTAAAGATATAAATGATCAGTTATTATTTAATTACGCGATTACATAGCCACTGCAATATTATTTTCACGTTGCGTCAATTTGAAAAAAAAAACAACCCACTGCAATATTATTTTCACGTTGCGTCAATTTGAAAAAAAAACAACAAAAAAAAAAAAAAAACACTTAAATATTTTATATTACATACATTTATTGTAAAATAGACGATTGTTATTTTATAAACAGTACTTATAATATATTAGAATATCAATTTTCAACTGTAACAATAATCAAGCACTTAATTATATAATTGTTTCTGAAAAATTACCGTAAATTCTAAATAAAAATTGCAATAATAAAGTTATAATTATTTTGCCACATGCTTAGATTTACGCGCAATATATTATTATTCATCTATGATATTATGAAATTATATTGCTTTAATGTAATTTAATAAATTCGAACATATCGATGAAATATCGTAACAAATGTATTATATTACCATATTAAACATTCAAAGAGTAGTACATAAATTTTTATTATTTATGTGAGCACATTTACATAAGTGACAATAAAAATTTATGATTTGTAAAACAATCAATTTGAGCTACTCTGGATAAAAATAGTATTATTTATAGCTTGTTGCGATTTATTATTTAAATAATAACATTTTTATCATATTATACTATACCAAATGCTTGATAAATTTAAACATTTAAAAGCAATAAAATCCGCTAATTTATTCTTTGTGAAAAGAAAAATGACTAGTTATAACGTTTATTGTCGTAATGATATTTTATTTGAAATAATATGTCCGTAATTTTAATAAATCTTTAAAGCGTCGAGAGTAATTTAAAACTCTGATAAATAGCGCAAATTTCAATGTCCCTAATTTTTCTCGCGCGCGCAAACCCACGCGCACGAACGCATATTAAATTACAGCAGGTAGCATTATATTGTTTTTTTTTTTCTTTATAGACGAATTCTATAAAATCTAACAAATGATAAAATCTCGTCATCTTTATGACGATATTATATCAAAGGACTTCAATCTTAATAAAATGTTTAAATACATTTGTCATATAAATATAGCTATTCTACTTAATATTACTGCATTATTGAACGCATTAAAAATAATTTATTTAAATCGTATCGATCGTATGTAAGTATAAAAATGGTCTCGTTCCTAACGTTAGATACGAGTATGTTTTAAGGACGTTTATTTATACTAATTCCGTTCTTTCGTTCTGTATGTAATATGTCGAGTCTAGATATACGAATAATATTTCTCGATTCTCATAGTTTAATAAAGAAATATGGCTATAATATGTTTTGCCGTGGAATGAAAATAATCACCGCTGTTTAAAAAAAAATAATATGGAATCATAGATCTTAAATAGGGACGGGAAAATATATGTGACCTATACGAAATATCGGTTTTACAAAACATGAAATTTGAAAAACATTTCTGCGTGTTTACTTGAATTTAATGCAATTTAATTTTCACTAAGTCTCTATTTATACTTTCATTGTTTATCGATAATAGCATATTCTTCTTATTTTATGGTCAATAAAAATGTTTAGATTTCTACTAACAACCAATAGAATTTATAAAAAAAATAATAAACATTTGGAAAGTACAATTATATTAAATTCGCCAAATGATATTATATTACTCGCACTGTTAAATACATAAACTACGATTATTTATTTTTGTCAAAACAAGACTTTTTACTTCATTAGATTACAATACTTACCTAATTATATTATATAGGAAATTAAAAAAAAAAAAAAAGATTCATTTTTATTCACAATTTTTATCGTGATTTATTTATTTTTTAAAAGGTATAATAAAAAAAGTAAAATAACTAAAGCATTTTGTGTACGTACATATATATTACATTAAACAAAGTATGCTCATAATTGTAAACTAATTTTATTTTATTTATATGAAAATTGACTGCTCTACATGCTCTATGTACTTTATTGTAAATCTTTATAGCTCCTATAGAACCATTATTATTATTCAATTACTTTCTTTAATCTTCTATGTTCAAATAAATTTTTGTATAAGTTTTTCCAGTTTGTTATTGTGTTAAAGCATTTTTATTTATATTATATCGGTATTTTAGTTTCTATAAAATTTATTTTAACTTTTCTCTTTCAACAATACTTTCGTAATATATATTAATTATATTCGATATTATTTTTATACATAGCGAATAATTTAGTTATTAAAATTTGTCCGTGTCAATTTTATTTTCAAAATGTAAGAAATAAAATGTATAAAATAGGAAAGAAAAGAGCTAAATTGATCTTTTTTTAATTCTATACTTAAAATATTAACTAAAATTTACTAAAAAATATGGGATATTCTTAATTTTTAAGGAATATACGATAATTCCCTTAATTTTTTTATTTTTAAAAATTTAACTCAATTGTTTATATAAGCGTAATATTAATTATTTACTTTAATCTGAAGCGTGGAAGTTAAGTTTTTTGTTTTACTTAATTCAGTTAGAAAAGAATTTAATTGCACTTGATATTTTTCTAAAATCTTTGAAAAAAGATTTATAAAATGTTGTTCTATTTCTATTTATTTGTTAATTATTTATTGAATTCTCAAAATATTCATACAGAATGAATGAATGCTTTTTAGGAAATTTCATTTTTTTTCTGTTTTTTTTTGTTTTTTTTTTTGTTGTTTTGTTTTTTGTTTTGGTCAATTCATGTGTATGCTATTATAATTTTTATATGTTATATGAATATTTCCATATTGAAATAATAATTTTAATTTTTCCGAATTCCTTACCATATATAAATTTAGCGAATCCAAGGAGCTTATGCGTATTTTAACATCTATATTATCATTACGTGGTAGAAAGTTGTGTGAGAATTATTTGAAAATTTAAAATAATTCAACATAGTTTTTTATACTGTAAAATTAATATCAGTTGGTATAAAATTGCAGGGGAGTGAGATATTTCACATTCTAACCCTCACTATATCTTTTCACTTTCAACTTATCCGAATAAACTAACGAATACTCATATTTGCAAGATAAAGCTTTGTATTACTCTTATTATATTTAACTTATGTAAATAATAATAATAAATTTGTTCAGTTATTTCATTCATTTGATAAATATTTAACCGATATTAATTCTGATTTGCCATTATTTATTTTTTAAGTAAGGCTTCTAAAAACATTTAACATTCGACTTTCGAGTTTATATAATTAAATAAGCTGTAGTTACGTACGCTTGACATTGAAATTTATTTTATTAAAATTTTAGATTAAATTATATATTTGCTTAATGATTTGATCGAAGACGCGTTATTATTTATAATTATAAAAGATGGATGTTGTATATAGATTGACAAAATATTCTCATCCAAATGTATAATTTCAACATAAGAATTAATCAACTTAAAAGAGTGTTAGGGCAATTTTTCCAGATATTTTTTTAATTTTAAATTACAACATGAATGAAAAATCAGAATCGCTTATTTTTACATTATTTGAATGCAAAGAAACAGTTGTTTGCCATTGTAATAAATGTGCATTAATTAATTCGTATAAGTTTTCATATATAGCCGATAAGATGCAGTTAAATAATAATTTTTTAATTTATCTTTGAAATATAATAAATTATAGTTATGCCTTTAAATTATATTGACAAAATATTTATAAATCTATAATTGTCTTTCATAAATCTCCCATAATATACCTTAAAGCTAAATAGTGCTCTGCTAAGTGATGAAATTGTAGATAAAATCATTTTAATTGTTTATAATTCTTGTAGCTTTAATAAAAAATGCCTACAAACACCGAAGAAGGTTTTGCGACAAAAGCTATTCATGCAGGTCAGGATCCCTTACAGTGGAGCCACTGTTCTGTAGTGCCACCGTTAGTTATGTCGACGACTTTTCGTCAGGATGGACCAGCTCAGCATCGAGTAAGTAAAGGAAAGCGTTTATTAAGGATTTAAAAATTTGTAAATATAAATTGATAATAAATAAAATTGCCATTATTGCGCCTAGGGATACGAGTACGGAAGAAGTGGCAATCCAAGTAGAAATTGCTTAGAAAATTGCCTAGCTGCATTAGAGAATGGAAAATACGGCTTGGTTTTTTCATCGGGACTTGGAGCCACGACGGCACTAATGTCACTACTGGAATCGGGAGATCATGTTATATGTGGCGATGATGTTTATGGTGGTACTAATCGTTTCTTTCAAAGATGTGCTTCCAAGCAGAATATTCAAGTTTCATTCGTTGATGCTTGTAACACTGAGAATTTCGTCGCCGCTGTGAAAGATAATACCAAGGTAAATTTTTACGCTTTTCTCTCGTTTTCTATTCTTGATTCACCGATTCTCATATTCTTATATTGGCAAGATTTTTCTTTCTTTCTTTCTTTTTTTTTTTTCATTTAGTGACTATGAATTCATTTAAATGAAAGCAAACGATTGGGAATCTATTTTTTATGCACACATCATAAAGATGCATAAATATATACATTTTTTACTATTATTAATTTTTCTAATTTTTGTTAATTTGTTGAACATTAAGGAGTATTAGAATTTTTTTTTTTTTTTTTTTTTTTTTGGATTAATTTTAAATTATCAATATTTCAGGTCTTCTAAAATAATAATATAATTATATTGAAAAATACTTCTTTAATATTCGAGAGAACTATCATGATGCTCTTACAGTAGTTTTACTAAAATATTTCTATACGATATATTACGTTATTCTATTTATTTAGATAGGTTTAAATTGTTATCCATACTTTTAAATATTTAAATGCAGATACAAGTATATAATTATGGTAAACAAAAAAATGATTATTATAGAAGAGATACAGTTATATGTATATAAATAAGAAAATTAGTTTCTTTTTCATTATTAGTATAGTGTTGCAGCCTCTTACAGGTATGGTACTCGTTAGTAGCCCAGTGAGTAATAAAAGAATGATTATTCTCGTCTAAGATCAGCAAGAATTGAATATAACTTTCTATTTTATTGGTACTGTTCTTTTTATCTTAGTTTAAAATTAAAATATTTTACACGTTAGATTTTCTTTCTTCCGTGACATTATGTATAAGATGTATAAGAGATGTATGATGATATTTGCGTTTAAACTTTAAGATCAACAATGTTTTAAAAGATAGTGAAAGATAAGGAATTTATATACGATGTTAATTAAAATAATCATGTTTATTAATTTATGCGGAATGAATGCGCGTACTTAAGTGGGAGATGAGGAGGAGGATGGGGGGGGGGGGAGGACTCGGCAGTGTAGATTATTTGTCGCAGCAATATTAACGTCACACGTACGAGTCGCTTATCGTATCTCGGCATAATTAATCTGACGATGTTTCGACCTTCCTTCTTTCTTTAATGCCTAGTTAACCCGAGCGAAGTTTGTTATAAATTTAAAATTATAAAAATTTGAATCTTTACAATGAAATATGATATTTTTTATTTAAAAAAATTTATATTTTTAATAACTTCATAAAAGTTTTTTAAGATATTAAACATATATAAATACATATTATTTTAATAATACTAAGTAATTTAGAATATTCATATTACTATTTAATTTTGAAATTGTTTCACGCTATTTTATTTAGATGATTTGGATTGAAAGCCCAACCAATCCTTTGCTAAAGTTAGCTGATATAAAAACCATAATTAAAGAAGTGAAAACCGGGAGACCCGATGTGTATATTGTTGTTGATAATACGTTTGCCACATGCTATTTTCAGGTGAATTATTAAGTTTATAAACATGTTAAATGAAAAAATTCTAAACTACATTTTATTTATTTATTTTTTATTTTTTAAACAAAAGAGACCGTTAGATCTTGGAGCAGATATTTCTATGTATTCTTTAACAAAGTATATGAACGGTCATTCGGATGTTATTATGGGCGCTGCAATTACAAAGCGAGATGACATTGAGGAAAAATTACGATTTACCCAAAATGGTAAAATGTTCGTTTGTTTTTTAGTGTTAAAAAAAAAAAAAAAATTACTGATCGCTCGATCTCTATATCTTTTAGCAATGGGCATTGTTCCTTCTCCCTATGATTGTGCGTTAGTAAATAGAAGTTTGAAAACTTTAGAATTGAGAATGCAACAGCATATGAAAAATGGTTTGGCTGTCGCTAAATTTCTAGAAGGACATCCATTGGTAAAGAAAGTCATTCATCCATGTAAGAAACTGATTTATAAATATTTTGTAAAAATATTAAATTTATCGGTATATTAAATATCAAAGGAAGAAAATATTTTATTTTAAATTTCAGATTTACCATCACATCCACAATATGAATTAGCTATCAAACAAATGTCAGGACACAGCGGTATGATTTCATTTTACCATAAAGGAAATTCGTATAAATTTTTAAAAGCTTTAAAAATCTTTATTTTGGCTGAATCACTTGGAGGCTACGAATCATTAGCAGAATTGCCGTGAGTATATTTTCAGTTTAAAAATTAAAATTTTCAATTTTAAATGCTCAATGCTAATAATTTTTAGACATCACGATTAGATTCATTTTATACAATTTCCAAAAGGTTCCATGATACTTTATCGTATTAATATCGTATTAAAATGAAAATAAAGAGCAAATTAAAATTATTCCTGACACTAATAAATGTTCTTCATAAAAATTATAGTATTGTTACAATTTAATTTTTTTCGTAATTGAAATTAAAAAATGAAAATATTTTTACATGTACAATTTTTATATTTTTGAAGCTATTTTCTACTAAGAAGATCAAGACAAATATTATAAAATTAATTAAGAACAAAAGAGAAAAAAAAAACGATCCAAATAGAAAATATCATTTTCAAATCCAATTATTTGCAGTAGAATAGTGATAAATAAGTTTAAAGCCAAGTAATAATGTTTGAATATACAAAATTCTTAGACCTCTATATACAATCTACTGATTTATATGATTAATTTATAAAATAAATCAATTGTTTATGATTTAATATTGGCATAAAAATAACTAAAATATGCATGACTAATTTAGGTGGTAGAATACTTTTCCAGATAAATTTTTTTAATTCTTACTTATATATATATTTTTTTTTAATAATGTAAGTTCATTTTCTAAACTTTTGTACGTCCTATAGATTAATTTATTCACTCTTTATTAATTACAATCAGACGTAATAGTATATATTTTTTAAAAAAAATTTACTTTAGTTTGCCGAAGAACATTCGTTATATCTTTAATAATATTGACAATTACTTTGATTGATTTAAAAACATTGAAGATTTGAAATTTCACATATAATTTTGTTAGATGCGAGCTGCATATGAATTATGCTCCTTGGTTATTAAATATAATACGAATTAAAAATAAAACATTAATTTTATCGAATGCATGGCTTTATAATTTTAATTTTATCATCGATTATTTAAATATTCTTCATTATATTTAAGTATAAATTTGTAATTTACTACCAAGTTAAGGTATGAGGTATAGGATTTTCATTTAAAAAGCAATCGATACGAGAATTGTAAATTACTATGAATGATATTTCATTTTGTCACAATAAAGAATAAATAAAAAATTATTTTATTTTAGGTCTGTAATGACACATGCGTCCATTCCCGAAGAAGAGCGAATGAAGCTTGGAATTAACGAACAACTCATTCGATTGTCTGTAGGAATTGAAACAGAGCAGGATCTTATAGCTGATCTAGATCAAGCACTTAAATGCTCGATGCAGTGAAAAGATGATTTTAACAAATTGTTCAGGCAATACCCTATATATCAGAGATAGGGAAACCTTTGGTTTGAAATCAGCTTTGAAATGAATAATTTTTTAACAATCTGCAAACTTTTAATTTGATAAAGTGCATAATAGTAAAAGTCTTTTATTCTCTCTAAATGCTTCGAACATCCATAAAGATATATTATGATATTACAGATTGTGTAATATTCCATATTCATTTGATTTGCTGTGAATTACGTTCCATAAAAGTTCATAAATTTCGCAATTTATAAATTTTAAATATAGCAATATTTAAAATGATGCGATTTTAATTGAAAAAAAAAATTAAATATTTTTGAAACTATAGTAATTTATAATAATCGCGATTTATTTTTATAATAGATTTATCAAAGCTTAAATTATATATTTATATTTTTAAAATTGTAATTACATATGTTTATTATATAGTATTAAAATTATTAATGTTAGCGATTACTAATTTTAACGAAAAAATGAATTTTGTAGTAACTCTGCTTAATTTAAAAAATTTTTTTAAAAAGTTTAAATCACCATAGTTTAGTCAAATAGTTTATGAAGAAGTGGAGGGTAATTTATATTCTTTAAAATTATATTGCTTATATTTCAAAATTGTTTCCCGTATTGAAAATAAAAGATAGAATAATATGAATATTTAAATGAAATTTTAAGATTCACTTATCTTTTTGTCAATATAAATACAAAATTATATACTTTTATATTATTAATTTACAATAGCAAATATCATTTTTGATTAGATTATTTACAAGGTATTTACAGTGTTATGCAAGTATTTGTACAATGTAGTTGTAAAAAATCTTAATTATTATAAAAATAGCTCAATAATACAAAATACCGAATATGATTATTCTAGTGAAATCCATAATATATAGTAATCTGTAGAAGAATAATATTTTAAAATAGTAAAAAAATTTTTTAATATAATAAACTGATTTTATTGATTATAAAATACACTTAATATTGAACAAGTATTTAAAAAAAAAATGATTATTTTTGTACTAATAGGATTATTATAAAATTATTTTATTTATAAAATTATATTCAGAATATTAATATCTATATACACCTATACTAATCTGCATATATTATATCATTATAATAGTGATATATTAATATTTTTTAAGTCCATCAAAGATTAGCTAGTTTAAAATGAATTATATATATATATATATATATATATTAAATTCATAAAATTTTGTAATATTTTCACAATTAGATTTATAAGATAATCTTATAAAATCTTATTATATCTTATTAAATTTGAAATTATTTTTAAATAAAAGTAATGAGAATCTAAAAATTTAATCAATGAATGAACAATGAAAGTTAAAATATATAGTGAAACATAAATTTTATATTTGTGCATTTAATATATACATTTTATATATTAATTGTGCAAGTAAAATAAACAAATTATATATTTTCAGTCTAATATTTAAATATATTATTTATTTTTATTGTAATAAGAAAATATTTATTCAATAAATACTACGTCTGCCTAGAAAAGTAAAGCTCATTAATTTCCTAAAAAAACATATATTTGAAAGTGAAAATAATAATGGAATAAAATTATTTAACATAAATAAATTATAATTTAACATAAATAAAAAAAACACTGAACCAAACGAATATATTAAAATGATTAATTACTTTAATTTGATGGAATATCAAAAATATTTTATTAACTCTATAATAATTACTGATATTAAAATAATAACAAATTTAATTTCAATTATTAGTTAGGAAGTTCCTGACTTAGATAATTGGATATACTTATATCACCATAAATATTAAAATATTAATGTATCGATATTTAATGAATAGATATTAAATTAAAATCAGTATACATAAGATATATTTTCTCAAATAAATAACAAATAAACCTTATGGATAATAATTACTTTGTAATTTGTAGTTTGTTGTGTAAAAAAACTAATTACAATATTTGAATATGTTAAATAGCTATAAATTTAATTTAATCAAACGATTTTATAAAAGATACATTAATAAATTGCCTACTATTTTAAATTTCTTCTTAATTTGAAAATTTTTTTTTCATTGATATAACAAAATTCTGAAACAATCACTGCAAATTGACTTTCGATGTATATCTATATTTCATATTTTTTACTCTATCATATTCTTGAGCTTTATTATACAGCAGAACTCCAGTTATTACTAAAATTGTTCCTAATGCAGAAAGACCCGTGACTGGATTATTGAACAATAGTATAGATAACCAAATTAAAAAAGCTCTTTTTGCAGTGTTAGCAACACTGAAATAAAAAAAAAATGTATAAAAGAAAATGAGAGGATAGAGAATAATTTAAACACTACACAATTTGAAAACTTACCTGTGTGTTATGGGACTAATATAATCCATAAGTACATATGCTGTAATACTTTGAAAATGAAAAAATACACCGTTTAAAATAAATGCTGTTAAAAGATGCATATTGAAGGAATGCTCTAACGTTGGAAAATCTACCAGTAAAATTGATGCTGGAATTTGTACTACCACCGATGCTAAACTCGTATAAAACTGAAGTTCTGCGGGACTAAACGTTGAGAGAATTGTAGTTTACTATAATCGCATGTGTTGTTAAGATTTTATAAACTTACGTGTATTTAAAACTATCGCCACTAATCAGCATTTTTGAATATACATTTTGCAAGCACTCCGTTAAATTTGTAGCCATAGCAGCGACAAATCCTCTCAAATCAAAGCTTATTTCATTCGCTGAACAAAGAGCTAAGCCACCCATAACTGGAATTAATGATAAGTTAACATACAATCCTGTATGTTCACCTGAAAACAAAGAATTCTGAATTTCTTGAAAATTATTTAAAACTTATGTATAAGAAGATATAATAAAACAATACCTAATAAATATTTGCTAATAAAAACAGTAAATAGAGGAGCGCTACTTTTTATAGTCTCTGTAAAACTCACAGCAACATAATTCAATGAAATTAATCCTGAAACTACAGTCATAAATCTTGTGCATCCAACTAACGTCATATGTTTATAAAATCCAGGTGGCCTTGTTAAGCGAGGACTTGCTTGATACATACCACAAGGAAAATACATTTGTATAAAACCACAGACTGCTGTCATCAACATTTGACAAGCGCCTATTAACAATCGTTATCGATTACATGTAAATTGTATCATAAATTCAACTTTATTTAATCTAAATTAACAAATTATTAATTACCTAATATCGTTGGGTCACCTTCCATGTATGAAAGAATATATTTATTTAAAAAAAGCGTACATCCACTGAATATGTACCATAGTATTAAAAATAGTAATGCTCTAGGATTGGCTAGGCCACCTTTAGTATTACTTCCTAAAATTGCTTCTTGTTTCTTCTTTACATTCTCTATGCAAGATTTTGTTTGCCCAACTGAGATTAATGACAAATCATCAGAATCAAGAGCTACTTGCATGTAATGAACAGAATGACTTTCCATGACAATATCATTGGTATTGCTTATATAATTCGAATATTTTATTGTATACGGTAATAATCTTTCCTCCCTTCTACATATTTTAGGTTACACTTCCCAATTGCCCTAATATCACATATTTTTCTGAACATATTGCAAAAAACATGTGAATAGCAATGTACGTACCACTACTATTGTACTTAAACCATTGTTTTTTCGTGTAATCATTTATATCATTAAGTTTTTAATGTAAGTTTAATTAATGTACTTTTCACACTTTCGCATACGTAAAACGAGCAGTGACGAAAATAGATATCCAGAGCGACTGGTGAGCGACAATTCCCGTAAAAATACAAAAAGAACCTACAAGTCCGAATACTACGTACTTATAGGGGGCGCAATTCATCGAAATGTTGATATTTCAATTTTTCTCTTTTATTATGATAAGATCCTCTTAATTTATTATGATACGTTTGAAGGAAAGAGATATTGGAAACGGCGGACAGAGGTGCTAACTATTACTCTTTAAAGTTTTCTTATAATTAGCCATTAAATATATTATAATAATTTCCTATTTTTTTTTATACTTCACATTTTTGCCGCTCTCTGTAAAATTTTTCGAATATTTTTGTTGCTTCGCAATGGCGAAAAATACGTAGTTTGCCGACTTTTTTTTTTTACGTCAATGTTAAAAGATAAAAGGATATTGTGTTCGACGGGCACACATGCCTATCTGTATTATATTTACTTGTAAATTATTCGCAATTGCCTGTTTTTTCGCTAAATTATTTATTCTATTCAGGATTCTATTCAGGATTCTATTTTGAAATGTTATATATATATATATATATATATATATATATATATGTCAAATGCATGGGTGTAAATTTTAATGTAAGAAACCATGGAAAATGCAAGCTATTTAGAATAAGAATTTATTAAATGTACATTATTCAATGAAAGATAAATATATTTCGCATGATGTGTAATAATACAATTTATATTTTTAATCTCTATATTTTGTTTGCTCTACCTTCTAGATCTTGTACGTATAAAAATATTAATTTCAAAAATGCCATATTTCTACAGATCTACGTATATTTTGTATATTTTTAGTTTTTAGATTGCTCACATGCGTCATTAATATCAAGGAATTTGCTCGACTCGAAATAGATAAATTGTATAAAATCCAGATCTAAACGCGATTGCTATTCATAGAACATACAAAAGCTCAAACCCCTATTATTATTATTATTATTATTATTATCATTATTATAAAATGGTTATACGTAATAATATGTATATAATATAAGCTTGGGCAATGCGTGGCGTGGAATTTTAATTGCTTCTCCTCATTATTACATTATCCAATCCAAGATGTAGTTTAATTAGACCAAATGTCGTGTTAATACGTAGGCATAGCAGCAATGAGATGCAACAGCTCGATTAAACCAGCTCTCTGGGGCTGAATTTTCGAAAAGCTTTAGCTGGAAATTAGCTTGAAATTAATTGCCCGATCGCATGTTCGGATGTGGAAGGAATTTGCCATTATCGATCAGCTCACGACGAGGAGGCGCGAGGAGTTGGCCGAACAATTGATTAGATAAAGCAACGTGGAAGCGCACGATGCTGTTATTTATATGAAATAGGATCGTTTCGTACGTAGAGCCAAGAGTTAAGAACTTTGAACGACTTCCCGCGCACGATGTACATGCTTGCCGGCGTTAAAAAAAGATGGCGCACGTATACGCCGTTATGTCCGCTGGTGTGGGATCGATGGCTCCTTGCTTGGAGTGCAATTAATGTTTGAAGCCGATGACTTTAGTTTCGCGTGTTCTCTTAAAAGTAAGATGATTTGGCGTGACATAACGAAAATATTGTAATTCAGTTAATAATGGCAGAAAGGGGTGCCCATCTTACAGGGACTACATTTGCTAAGCCGTCAATTTTTGAAATAGCCGCTCATAAGTCACTCGCTAAAATACTCGAACCTGCCGCAAAACGAATTATAACCGTAAATAAGCTAACACTACATGTACATTTAAAATTCAAAGTTATCGAAATTATTTTAATTTTCATTTAGTTTTTGGCATCGATCGATCCTGAAAAATATGCTTGGCTTCATCAGTGGTCAAACGAGATTTATCTTATATCAATTACCGTGCTTCAAAATTATTATCTAAATAATTATTGTAATTATACAATAATGTTGCTGTTGTTGTTTTCATTAAATTTTTTAATATGAATTTGATAAAAGTAAAATTTTGCAGCTGCTTCATTTTCCGAGACGTTTTATGGTTTAAAGCGTATTGCTTTAACCGATTCTAAAGGTACGGCAAAACTGAGTAATAAGCAACTTAAGTTGTCACTTATAATTTTAGTTGTTCTTCCGTATTTTCAAAGGAAAATTGAGGATTTGAAAAACGAAAATACCAACTTAGATAAGGTAATATGTAAGTTGCGTTACAATTTTTCAATTATCGCATTACAATTTTTAATAAATATATTTTGTTCAATATAAAAGCAGAAATGGAAATACTTTATTCGGATGTATAATATTCTTTACGTGATCAAGGAAATATTCTCTTTTCGTCAATATCTATTATATCTCTCTAATAAGTCAATATATCCGACACTTTCTCTTCGTCTACTTAAAATTAATTTAACATTTGCCAACAGTAGTAAAGAAACTGGTTTGATCGAATTACTTCGGCTATTAGGTCAAGGCAACATAAATGCTAATAGTGCGTTAGAAATACTGAGGTTAACGATAGTACGTTCTATCGAAGCAAGTGCTTTCTTTCTTCAGTTTCTTCGGTGGTGGAATCAAGAAAATTATGCAGACTTTAATTTGTTAAGATTACCAGTTCCTCCTCCGCCGCAGGTAGATAAATATATTATTTTCATTATTCAAATGTCATATCAAAGATAATTTAATTTGACTTATAATTATTTGTAATTTCAGATTCCAGAATCCGTGAAAATATATAAAGGTATATGTCCAATTTGTAGAAGAAAACCTTGGATCCATACAGCACTGTCCGTTTCTGGATTCGTTTATTGCTATCAATGTATCCTACTAGAAATAAGAAAAAACAAAAAATGTCCAGTCACTAATTATCCAGCAAAGGAAGATGATCTTATTCGACTGTACATGCACTAATTTGATTAAAACAGTATTTCAATACTCTGGTTTAATATAATAATATTTTGTCAGTTTCAAGGTATCGGGACTAGTAACTTTATTACTTATATGATGAATCTAGAAAACATAAAGGTGAAAAAGTTGTAATTTTTTGGTGTTATGTATGTAAAAATGCAAAAATATATTATTAAAAGATTTAATATTATAAAATTACAAAATAAATAGTGATACAATAATGATTTAGGATATGGTAGTAGGTTCGTTTATTCAAAAATATATCTTACCTAATTTTTAGGATTTATTGATTAAAATTGACTATTGTAAAACAATTACAAGATATAATGTATAAGGCACTCCATAATGTTAAAAATAAAAGATATCTATTATTATATAAACAATTGTTAATGTTCATTATTTATGAAAGTTTTATCAGTCATTCTCTCCAAAGTATAACAAAATATATTGTCACAGTAAATACATTGTACATATAGCATGAATAAATCTTGTGTTTGTTCCAATAGAACTCTATTATTTATATTTAATATAAATTTAATGAAATAGTTACATAAAATCTATCAAAGTCATCAACTCTAATTGTGCAATCTACAAGTAAATTTTATATACTAGACTCAAAGTATATTTAATAAAATAAACGTATTAAAATTATAAGGAGATAAGTCAGAAGTTAATATAAAAAGCTTAAAATTCTAAATAAAAATAACAATTTTACGTTTTTCTGCTCAGTTTTTATAACAAGTGCAAATTCACATGGGCGTGGATCTAGCAGCCTAAATCGCTGCTTTTTTCTCCAATCGCTGTACAACACACTAATATATCTAATTATAATATTAATACGTATAATATACAATTTCACGGTCACCAAAGTGGCAGTTATTTATAATTTTCAAAGATTGTTATTATCGGAACAAAAGTTCGCTATATAAAATTATAGCATTTAATACTAAGAAAAAATGACTACAATTCTTCAAAAAAGGCAACTCTGGCTTTTGTTGAACCCGACTTGACTTTCTTTAATGTGCTGTATTTATTCTCTCCAAGACGTACTTGTTCTTCGTGAAGTTGATCTAGTTCACACTGTTTTTCACCCACTTTCAGTACTTCTATTTCAGATCGAAGCTCACGCAATTGTTCTTGTAAATGTTTACTTTTTTCCCAATAATCGACTCTTTCTTTCTCAATTTCTAAAGAAAGTTGATCAACGTCTCCATCCGCAATTAAATCGTAACAATTAACTTCAGATGATAATGGTTCAGAATCTAATTGAAGGGTCTGCAAATCAGCTTGTAAATCCGAAGGAAGAACTTGCGTAGATGGAAAAAGATTTGGTACAGGCTAAAAATAAATATTTATAATAATAGATAATATTGTATAATAAGTAATAAGGAGTAAAACAACAATTTATAAAATAACTTAATATTCACCGTTATTGTCGAAGTATATGCGTTTCTACTTAAAAATTCTAATAATTTCTCTTTAGCTTCTTTTTCAGCAATGCGAGCTCGTAAAAGCTCGTCTTTCAATTTTTTTTCTTCCAGTGCTCGTTTTTCAGATTCTTGTACGAGCATTTCCGTAAGACGAACGGCATCTCTCGTTTTTTGTTCCAAATGAACCTTTTCCTCTTCAGTTTTCATATTACTTAATCTAATCCTAGTAATTTCTTGTTCAGCTTCGGAAGCCTTTTGACTTAATAGCATGGCCTCTTCCTCGGCAACACGACTTTTTTCTGCTAATAAGTCAGCGGTCTCTTCAGATCGTCTCTGTAATGAAAATCAGTCATTTATATTTTTGCAGATAAAAGACAAACTCTATGTATAAATCATTAATATAAAAATACAATAACTTCTAACGCTGTTATGAAAATATTAATAAAAAAACGGCTATTTTCAAGTAGCGTTTATAACATTTTTTCTATGGTCAACATTAATTTAAAATACACATATAATTTTTATATGTAATGTATATAATCCACTCTACTAACCTTATTCATAATTTAAATAGCAGCTTTATTCACAATATTCACATTATCGGTAACAATTCTTTAATTTTTCAACTTGCTCAAAGCTTAATTAAATTATATTAAAATTTATAATAAAAGCATTAATATACTTTAATAAATGCTGTAAATGTTTAGGCACTGGTTTTTCTTAGATTGAATAAGTATTTATTGCATACACGAGTAAAATTGAATTTCTTTTACACTTACAAGAGCTTCGTTCGCTAGTCTTATTTCTTCTTGATACTGTAATAGTCTTTGTTCCATAGCTGCTTTCTCTCTTTCTGCAGCTTCTCTAAGTTGTTTTTCTCGAGCAAGTTTATTCCTCTCAATTTGACGCCTAATAAAAAGAACTAATTTTATCAAAGATTTTTAATTCCTAAATTGTATCACTTTGGTGTAAAAATTCACATACATTCTGATGCAATTATTTTATTTTTAAATTTTGTTTCCAAATTTATCTTTCCAAGTCTATCAACAAAGACTTTCATTGCTGAAATCGCTTTTTGGACAATTTCTTATCAATGAATTCTTTATCCATTTTATACCTTCGTATTATTCATATTTTAATTTGAGAAATTATTTTTTGAATTTAAGAGAAAGAGTTAAAAAATAATAATGTTGGTATGTGAATAATATAATTGAATTTAATTCGAATTTATTTTAAGCATTTTATTTTATTTAATCGACAATCTAGTAATTAATATATTATTTTATCATAATATGAGACATTATTTAATAAGACTAGACCAAGGCATAATTGCATTATATATAGAAACTATGAATGTAATATAATAAACTTAAATATTTCTGGCTAGTACATAGTAAACATAATTAAAAATGAAAATAATTTGTACTCACTTAATGTAGAATCAAAAAACTTTCTTAATATAAATGCACGAAACATTACCGAGATTTTTCTTCCTTGGCCTGGGCTTTCATTTGTTGGACTTCCATGGAGTCTGGCTTCCGGCGTCTCATGAACAGATCATGGTTGCCAATACACAGGTCCAGAATCTTAACAAATAAGCCGCGAGTAGCCTTGTCACTATTACGCTCGTCCAAACCTAAAGCTACCTGTAAGCCACCCTTCACCCAGCATCTAACATCAGACTTTTTTTTTACCAATTTATTCATCCGAACTTTCTGCGAGAAGAAGACAAAGTTTGGCGACGATTTGTCCACTGGCTTGATGATAAACTTTTTGTCATCAAAACTTATATGCCGTATCTCAGACCATGCGAATGTCGTCTTTGGTGTCAGCTTATTTTCCTTTTCATAAATATTCAGTCCCAGAGCCGTTACACCTAGCCAAAGATTAGTCTCTTTCTTATTCTGTGAAGTATAAATTAATAAAAGACCTTCGATTGTATTAATTGTTTTACATAAAATAGTAACTTATACTCACGCTAATGGGAAAATAGTTAACACCATACATATCCAAATCTTGCGCAACTTTTAAATATTCCATTTCTGCTTCATCTCTTGACATTGTTTTATGATCGGCGTACCAAATTTTGATCCTATCTTCCCACATTTCAGGTGTCATTTGATACTGATCGATAACTCTTTGAGGTAATAAGTCTTCGCTAGCCAGCATCCCAGGTTGATAAGATGCTTCATCATAATCTCCATACTAAAATTATAGTTTTAAACGTGTAATGTACAGAATGTCTGTTCTTATGTTATGTTTACAAAGTAGTACCTTTGCTTGAACAGCATATGAAGCTAATAATACAGATGCTTCAGGTGGGCAATATATATCCATGGAAAGGATAGCTTGTTTAACTTGAAGATAGAAAAGATGTTGTGTCACCTCTTGTACAAGTTCTTCGGCAACATCTTCTGGATAAAATTTGGCAAGAAACATAAACGGTGTTGTGGATTGTTGTGAAATACCTTGATCTTGAACTATTGTGAAATGAATATTATTACTATTCCAAAAATACATAAAAACTATTAAATTACTAATATTATAATTTTTTATCTTTAACCTTTTTTATCTAATTTTAGCCACGATATAAAACCTTTTGAATCTTCGTATTGAAGGCCAAAGTACCATGTTTCTCGAAGACCAATGGTACGGCATACCAAATCAAATAAATCTCTTCCTGTTGCACGCCACTGAAGATCAAAATGTTGCAATTAGTTTGGCGTATTTTAAAAATTATTGTCATACCATAATAAAATTTAACGAAAGTTAACCTCTAAATTAAATTCTAGTTCAGCATCTAAAGTACAAACTTTAACGGGAAATGACTTAGTAGATTTTTTTCTACGAAATTGTGGCATTTTATTCCTCATTGTGTATTACATTTGTCATCTTCATTGTTGAACTTCTGGTCACAAAAAATTTATTCGCTTAGTAAACACTTAAAATGAATGAACATATCAAAATTGACATCTCTTCATTTATCTCAAATAAAATAATAATAAATTTTTTATTATATATATATATATATATATATATATATCATCATTTAAGCATATAAACATACCTTTAACCTATAATTACTTGAAATCATAAGCAGCTAAGTATTTGTACGTACGTATTTTTTCTACGGACATCCATTTAATCGTCTGTTACGGATTAAAAAATACGAAGCTACAGAAATGTGAATACACTAGTTGTTAGGATTTATAAAACTTATCTTAATCTTTGCTAAAAGAAAAATTCTTCAGTTTATAAAAGAACAACATTTTTCTTATTCTAGAGACACTATTATAAATATTATGCTATTACAAGAGTTATAATCCAATCAGTTTAAGAAATATACACACTATCATTACACTGTATAAAAGCTGATGTAAAAAACTCTTCGCACATGTAAAATTGCATAAAATTTTAAATGCGTGTGCACATGTGTGTGCATATGCATATATATATATATATATATATATATATATATATATATATGCATATGCGTTAGTGCGCACGTTTGATCACACCCAAAGTTTGAATTAATATAAGCCGCGAAGATTCAAGACGTTTGATAAAAATGGATATGTTTTTTTGGTATTAATATTTATACAATTATAACATCTATGTGAAATATATTTTTATAACATTATTTAAGTATGTGATATTGATATTGTAAAACTAGATGTAAGATAGTGGAAAATTATATAGAAAGAATTTCATTATTTTTTTATTTTATAAACAGAAATCTCAAATTAATTGAATTGTCATTCCTGATATATTGATTTGATATTAATTATATTGATATGTAATATTATACGCTATACATAGAAAATATATATATATATATATATATATATATATATATTGTTTTGCATTACGATAAATAGAATTCTACAGATAACCGCAATTTCTTTGGTTTTATGCATTCGTTGAATTTATTACTTAAAAAGAAAAAAAAATAAAATAAAATAAAAAAATCAATAAATGTTTACGAAGCTGTTTTCAATTTTTTGGGTAAAAAATTTTTCTCTTTCTTTATAAATTTTTGTATACACTTATGCTTATACACATATTAGATTAACATATTAATTCAATCTTTATTGGATGAGAATTCATCTTTGATTATATATTCATAAAATTTCTTTATATTTTAGCTGATTTTGATTTTTGAGATATTTTTTATGAAAGAGATAGCACAGGCTAAATAGAAACTTATAATTTGCAGATTTCAAATTTTAACTAATTAGCTTTTTAAAAATAATATATTTTATTTAATGAATTTGTATTTCAATTCAAATTAAAGGCAATATTTATCAGTGATTTGGAAGAAATATTCATAGCTGATCAATAAGTAAATATACGATATTATAGAATGTGTTATCTGCAAATTTGTTTTAAATATTAATCGAAAGCTTAAATTTTTAAAAAATTACATATGAGAATTATAGGTATTAGTAAAATGAATATTTAACTTATTATTCATTCAACAAAATTTATTTTATCAACTACATTACTTTGAAGCGTCAATATTGAATGTTTAATAATCTATTTAATAAAATACTATCTTCAAATAGCTTATTATTTTAAGAAAATAAAATAATAATTAAAACTACAAACCCTTTTTACATTATAAATAATGTACTTAATATGTTACATGTATGACGAAGGTAATTTTTCTAGAAGTCCAGAAATTATTAGACTCGTTTTTTTATTATTAGAATTCGGGCAATTGATTTGATAAGGGTATACAATTTTTCAAAGTGCTTCTATTAGTTGGTAGCTTAAAGAACGAGACAAATATCTTCAATTTGTTCTTAAAATGTGGAAAAAGATATAAAAGCAAGATCAATGAGTCCACTTACGTAGTTCAGAAATGCTGGGCAATATTTCATATATGAATAAACCACTATATTTATAATAAATATGTTACGGATTAAAAGCTTGAAAGTCGAAAGTGGGAGAGGTATGAATGCGTAATTCAGTTATTTAAACAAAATAATAGCATCAAACGTTCCAGGCTATGCCATGATGACGTCACGAACAATATCGTCATGGTAACAAACATCAGCGTTTGAGAAATAGTGGGATAATATTTAAGCTCAGTTTTGCCTCAGTCTATTAACAATTACACATTATATCATTATAAAACGCACTATATATTTTCCACTACATCTACAGAAACTACAGTTTAACAATATATATAATTAATAATCAATTAAGTAATAATCTACGAACGAAATAGTGACGTTTATTAAAATTATTAATAATATAATAGTGACCATAAAACGATAGTGAAAACATAAAATATATTGAAGCAACTCATACATAAGATAAGACGATGTGATAAAGGCGCGGCATCAACCATACCACTATTATCAACAATTTAATGTATGTTAAGATAGCATTTATTAATTATACAACAAAGGAAGAAATACATTCATAATACGTAACAATAAAGGAAACTTTATATTTAATCTATTATATAATTATATATAATTCATAATTAATTATTTCTTATTATTATATTTAATAAAGAAACAACGATAATCATTAAATAAGTAGTCTTGAATAATTGCACTGTCCCTTCCATTTGCCAGCAACACCGCCACTCAACGTCTAAGGAAGTTTTTCAGTCTGATCCCAGACAAAATAAAATATAAACATTTGTTACAATTTTTTTTACAATAAAATATGACAATTTAAAGCTATATAAAATAAAAAAATATTATGGCAATAAGTATTTATTCATTCATAAATATAGCCTGTGGCAATTTAAAAATAAAATAATTTTTACTTCATCAATTGAGCTAAATAAGTAAATAACTACAGAACAGAATTTTTCATTACCTTTATCAGTAGCGGCACTTGTTCTCTATATTTATTTGAGACATATTGTCGATATACATAATCTATATTAATCGTAATATTTTTATTCAATTTTCTTGATAGTTTATTTTCATCTTTATTTGAATGAAAAAGAAATCTTTAAGTAAATATAAACATTTTTATATTAAATATGGGTGTTCTGACAAAGACATAAGATGTGATAGATCGTTCGAACAATTCGATTAAATATACTAATATTTCTTTATAAAAGAAATGTTTGATATAAAAAAAAATATGTTAAAATTAATGATTAAAATGCCATAAGCATTGGTAAAATTATAATAAATAATCTTTTAAAAATAAAATATTTAAGAATATTATCTTCAATATTATCTTAAAAACTTTTATACGAAATTTGATAAAATTAAATATTTTTAGTGAAATAGAACATTAATGTCTGTATAGTTGTAATTTTCTTTTTAAATACATATATTTATAATTTTATCAATTAAAAACATAATATATATATATATATATATATATATATATATATATATATATATATGTACTAATGCCAGTATATTTTTATTTTCAAATTTATAAATTTTCCAATCTGAGTATGAATCATACGGTTTATTGTAAAACAAGTATCATCATGATTATCATATATGAAAATATTTTTTAATTAAATAAATGGTTACTGTATGCTGTTCTGAAAACATTAACAATCTTTTGAAATAAATATATTCATGAATTATATATGAAAATGTCATGTGTAATTATCATAAAGAATGTCCAAATTAATTCTTCATATATTCAATTATAATAAAAAAAAAAATTTTTTTAATAACTTCCAAAATAAAAAATTATCTCATTCTTATTAGGAAATTATATAATATATAATCATGTCTAAGCATATTTAATCTCACAATATATATATATATATATATATATATATATAAATATAGATGCTTTAAATATATTTGATATTATTTACGTTACATAAAGCTATTAATATTAAATCAAAATTATTATCATTATAGTAAAAAATCTAAATTAATCGTTAATCTTAATTTAATATATTATGTATAATTAATTTAATATAATTGCAATTCTTATTTAATATTGATATTTTTAATTTTTTTAAATGCATTAATTAATATTTTCTTTAATAAATGTAATACAAATCAATTCATTTTAGTTGTGCTCTTTTTAAGAGTGTATTATTGTATAATATTATTTTATAAAAATAGTACAAACTGTATCAAATTGATATATTATATATTTATCTATTTTACGAAATTTTTATTGTATTTTTATTGTGTATTAAATAATTTTATGAATATTAAATTTAATTAACTTATAGTTAAACAATTTTTTTAAGTAAAAATTTTATTCTTAATACATAATTTATTAGATTATATTGTTAGTTTTAATATACAATCATAATATATATACATAATGAATAATAATACATTTTTATTTAATATTATAATAATTATTAATTACGTCTTTTATATAATGTTGCACATATGATTCAGTAACTATATCATAATAGGATATAATTATAATTTATTAATGTCATTCACTACTTACCATTAGGTTAATAATGATTTGTTTATTTCATTTATAATGGGCATTCGATTTTTCAAGTGTTTTATTATTTATTTTTTATTGGAACTAACGCTACTTATATAGATTTAGAATATAAAATCCTACAACTCATGTCAGAGTGTTGGAGGAACATCAGAACGTAACCTCAAAAGTATATAAGGACTTTATTAAGGCTTATGTTTTAAAAAATAATTTAATATTGTATCCTAATAATTAAAATATGAGTTTATCCAAAGAAACAGAATTGGTTATTAGCAATAATGAACAGGTAGATCATTTTATATAATAGTTCGAAAATTAGAATTTTACCCTAAAATAAATTATTTAAAAATAAATGTTATTAATTATATTATAACGTAATGTAAAATAATATATTTTAAATGTATATTTTGAAATTTACAAATTGAAATTTTTAATAACATTTAATGATAAATCTAGTTTAAATTTAAATATTTAAATTATTATATAATTTTATATATTTATAATTGATTATATTTATAATATTTAAAACTTAAATAATCTTTTGAAAATTTATAATTATTTATAATTTATAAAATATAAAAATATATTATTTTAAAAATATAATTTAGTACAAATTTACAAATACTCTTAATAATGTTAAATAAATCTATAATTTTTCACGTTATTACACATTTCAATAATATATTGAAAGTCTGTATATAATACAATTGGATGTTGATTTAAATGTAAATGTAATTATATATAGTAAAAGATGATATTTCAGTTTTTCTGTAATGTTAAATAAAGAAATTATCATTAAATTTATTAGGAATATAATAAGTTGATTTTGGACAATGAACAAAAACATAATAAATAAATGACATGAAAATGATTATAATCTTTATTATATAACAGTAAAAATTTCTTCATGTATTTTATCATTAAAATATTTTTATTTATTATAATATTAGATTCAGCAATTAACGAAAGAGAGAATAAGAAATATAATGCAATGTAGAAAAGATGGATTTTATAGAACAACTGTTCCATTAGCTGCGGTATGTGCATTAACTAGTTTTATGGGATTGAAAATAGGAGTAATACCAAGGGCAAAATGTGGCATTTTATATCAATCTTTGTCAATGACATTAACAGCTGCTGTAGCTATTGAAACATATTCGAGTTGGTTATGCATATACAAGAAATACCCAAATTCCATTCAAAATTTTTCAGTAAAACAAGAAGCAAATCCTGAGTAAATTATCCAATTTAAAAATTATGTATAAAACAATGTGTTGAAAATTGTATAAATAATTATATTTTTTAGGTTATACAATGAAGTACAAACATATGAATCCACTAAAAGCATATCGTTTAATGAGAATCAGTCTTCAGAATGGGATACAGCGACTTCAAATCTAAATGACAATAACGACAATATAAATAACAACCATATTTTGTCAGGTACACGCGTGTGATAGATGGATTATTATTTTATCAGTGTCATAAATTTCAATAATCTTTTACATTATATTATCATAAATTGATTTCAGACCAAAGTACAGATGATTTTAAAGAAGATAAACCTGTTAAAAATTATGTCACTTATGATCAATTGAGGAGAGAAAACAGAATAAAATTTAACGAAAGGTAAATATGCATTTATTAATGTACATTATTTCATAATTGAATAATTTAATAAATATAGATTATATATTACAAGATTAAAAAGATCGGTTAATAGTTTTGTTCAATTTTCTTAATTTTTCAGATACAGAGAGCAAGAAAATATTTCTGAGTCTCAAAATATACAAAATACTAGATCACCTGCATTGAATCAAAATGCTAAAAAGCAAACAAAATATGGTGATGTCTGGGATGAATAAAATATTGTGATTAAAGAAATGAAATAATTGTAGAAACTTAAGAAAGTATTTTAAAGAAATAAAAATGGATTTTTAAATATATGAGATTTTTATAAATGTTTACACTCTTATTGAGGTAAAATAAAAATTCATAAAATAAAAAATTAACTTATCTCAAATCTAAAAATTTTTTCGTAGTATACATATTATTGTAAATATATAAATATATTATGTAAATATGTCATTGTATAATATTATTATATAATTATGTAAATAATATGAACTATATGCAAACATGCTTGTATATATATATATATATATATATATATATATATATATATATATATATATTCATATATATCATATAAATAATTTTGTTTTATTATTAATAATTATTGTTTCAAAAATATATTATAATTCTTACGTTTTATTACACTTTCACTGGATAATAATTAATTCTGTATTCTAGTATTCTATTATTCTTATACATAAGAATATAAATTATTAAAATAAATAATAATTTAATGTTATAATATGTAAGAGTAATAAATAAAAACATCTTATTATAATTTTATAATAATTTAAAGCCAATTATCGAATCAATTTATATTGAAAATGAATTTTAATAAATAATAAAATCGAAAATGTATTAAATATATATTTCGATTGTGAATTATTAGAGAACTTGGACTATTTGTTACGAATGATATTAAATATAAGAATATCGTTTAAATTTATATTTTAAAGTTTCGTTGACTAAATATATCACTAATTGAATTTATATGCTAGGAAATGTAAAAAAAAACATTTGATTTTTCAACGATTCATATTTTATTTATTATGATTTTTGTTACTATTTCAACGAATCTCGTTGAATACGATACAGACTAGGGTTTATCGTTTTTTTTCTTTTATTCGACTCGGTGTATATATACACACACACACATCTATATGTGCATACATTTGTAGGCGAAGAGTGGTACATATGTATACTTGCTCCCGCACACACATATATATATATATATATATATATATATATATATATATATATACATACACACAGACACACACGAATACTTTTTATGTAAAAATTTCGCAGTTATATGAAAATACAAAATTATATATGTATTTAAACAAATAAAATGCAAAAAAGAAAATAAAATTACAAGAATTAGATTCTTTACTTTTAAAGATACAACAGATCTCTCGAGTAGGTGAACATGTTGAAATGAAGCGCGATGATATTTTGGTATTTCGCGTTTCCGTCGCTTTTGAACTATACACATGTAGTAATGAAGACACAAAGCTTTGAAATAACGCGTAAAGTATGATATGTACGTTGTTTTCTCGGTCGACACTTTCACCGGCAGCTTTATTCTTTTCATCTTTTCTGGGACATATCACGTAAGTAGAAACAGCATTTCTTTCATTTCTTTTCATTGCTTTGAATAATTACGTAAAATAAGATTTACACACATGTACCATTGAGAATTGAAATTCGTCGCTTTTAAGTACATTATTTCCCTTGTTATCGCACTACAAAGTAAAGTACAGTCGAGCCGGCAAAAGCGTTTTTATTTTATGTATATTTTATCTTATTTATTTATACTATAACATAATAAAAATCATATTTGCGCGAAAAAACGTCGTTAAGTCTTTGGAAATAGAGCGGAGAAGAACCCATATTCTCGTGAAATATACAATTCACATACTTCCGCGTGCTATACATGTTGTTTGAATGTATTAGAATATCAATAAAGTAGCACATTACGTCATTTGAATTAGCGACGTATATCCTTCTTGAGATATCATTAATATCGCTTATAAAAGACATTTAGAAATTCAACTCTCTATGTTGTTTTCACGATGATGATTAATATGCCAAATAATCGACTTTTCCATCGTTTCAATTACAATATTCTTACCGAGTCTAAACATAACAGTCTAATTAATTATATTTTTTATAATACCATGGATTTGTTTAAAAAATTTAACATTTGCCATAATAATTTAAGGATCGCTGTGCGATACATCCATTAAGCTTTTACAAAAATGCTTGATTACACTCGATAAATGTCTATTAAAATCTTCACTATGACATTTCAACTTTAGTTAAATGAAATTTATTCTAATTTATAATGAATTTATTTCATTCGTCTATCGATTATAAATTAAGTTGATTGACTATTTATAATTGATTGCAATTGTTTTTAATCGACAGATTAAAATTAGACTTTAATTAGAACAGTTTTATCTTATTTTTATTTTTAAAACATGTATTGTTTAATATAACTATTGTTTAAGAATAAGTACAGTTCTTTTACGAACAACAATGACTATATAGTTTTAGTAAAAAATATAAAATATTGGTTATTAAAATAACTAATGGTAGATACTATAGTAAGAAGAAAATTAATTTATTATGACCATTTGAGAATCTTTTATTTAATATCCTTTCAGATTATAAGTTTCATATTTTTAGGTAAAACATTGATTGATTCAAATAATAAATATTCGAGAAAATAATCCATAAATTAACAACACCAAAAGAAACTGAAATAAATTTATATAATTAAAGTTACTTCAAGAATATCGTAATATTTAATATATTACGGTTTACTTTTCAATGCAAAATAGATTTTTTTTTTTTAAATTGATAAATGTAAGTAAGTATCTTGATAGAATGACACACAAAATCAATAAATTAAAATAAATATTTGCATTAAACGAATAATTATTTAATAAGACTTTCTACTATAAAATTAGAATTCATCGTATAAGAATAATTCTACTGGATTTTAATGAAATTATATTTTACAAAAAAGTGTACGTCTTCTTAAAAGACAAATAAATTCAACATGTATCTTCAAACTTTAATAAAAAATTCGATAATATCAAATATATTTACTGAATAGTATAATATAAAATAAGATTTATTCTAGCGATGATCAGATCGTTTTAAAAATTAGTTAAATATGAGTTGTGAATGTATCGATGAATAAAACTATCAATAATAAATGTAGATTAAGTTGAAAAAATTTTTTAAGATATGCATGTGCATATTTCTTGAAACAAATCCATTGTAAATAAAATTTATACAATTTATTAACGGAGAAAAATTATTGACAAAATCAATGATGATAAATTATAATAAAATAATTAAATAAGGCATAATTCAACGCGATGGTCAAAGATAATGAAACCCGATGCAACTAAGTAATTCAATTTTTAAGTATGAGTCAATGTATTATCAAATGTACATTGAGATTTTTATTTCTATTCGATATTCATAAGTAAAGAAAAGAATTTTTGAACAATAATAAATAAATTCAAATGATCTTGATTACATAATCAATTTAGTCCAAGAAGGATAAATATCGCCAAGCCTATATTGACATTAAAATCTACCATTCATTTCTACACTTATTTGTTTCTTATCCACTAACAGTTTTGTCAGCAGCATTAAGTGAGATATACATATATTTTTACTTTATATTTATCTATATAATTTGTGTATATCGTACATTCATTAAGTGTTTGTAAGATGAAATAAGGTGGACCAGCCACCGAAAGCGCGCCGACAGCCATAATAATGAAGAGTTGCCATAGATTTTTATGAATATTTATACGTTTTTTAAAATTATTGTTTGATTAATGATCGAGTATATTTTTGTATTTTTATTTGTTTTTTTGTTTTTTTGTTTTTTTTTTTTGTTTTAATACATTGCAGCGTAATTTTTTTATAAACTACTTTTTTGATAATTTTATAATTTTCAGAATAATTTAATTATAGTACTAGCCTAACGTAATTTTCAATATTCTATAGTTTAAGTAAACATTAAAGTAAAAGAATTTCGCAATTATTAAAATAAATTCAATCAAATAGAAAGTAACTAACAATATTTATTACTTAATGATTGAATATCAAATATATTTTAGCACTTATATTTTTATAAACGAAATATCGATAATTTCATTAATTTTTCATTTTAATAGTGCTAGCTATAAATATATAATAATATATAATAATAAACAATAATTGAAAATCTTGAAAATAAGTAAAAACAATTATTTATGAAAATTGGTAAGTACTTTCTATTTAATTTGTATAATTATAATTGGGTGAGGAATGAGTTTAATTATTAAATCTAAAATTAATTTATTTCGTAAATAATATTATTTTAGTAAATAAAAAATTTGCAGATAATAATATTTAAGTAATGAATCGATTGCACTTTTGAAATCACAAGAAGTATTATCTAAAAATATCTAATTAATTTTTTAAAATTGTAATATTGATTTAATACTTTGATTTATGCATATATATATATATATATATATATAGAGAGAGAGAGAGAGAGAGAGTATATGAATTAACGTCGTATTCCATATACAATCATATATTGTAAAAATTAAAGGAAATCTTTATGTAATATCCAGTTGTCAAAATATTCATATTATTGAAACAGTCACATGAAAAAATCAAATATTTTTCAACAAAATAATACTGCATTACAAGATAGAAACTTACACTCGAAAAAATGTTTTCGTATCACAATAACATATATGTTACATTTTAGCAAAATATTGAATAATCAAAAAGATTTTCTTAATTGCAAATCTTTTTGTTATTCCAACAAGTATACAAAAGTTTATATAAAGTTCATAAGAGAAAATGAATTCTTAAATTATATTAAAATATTATTTTATTACACCCATAATATTAAAAATAATTGAAAAATCTTTATAAAAAATGATAGACTTATTTTTATATTTGATATTGATGTTCTTGGATGAAGAAATGCTTAAAATTTTCAATTTATTATGTTACAATCTTTGATGTATGCCAAAGACAAATATATATATCGTGTAGTATTTGAGAAATTTTATACAATTTTTATTGATATCCAAATTTATATGAGGCAGCATTATTATTGTTTTTATCGACACGAATAGTTAAATAACGATTCCAAATATTTGTGAATTGGTCATGTAAATATACGTACGTACATATATGTAAGTAAGTATATTTCATAAGTTTTATAATATAATTCTTTCTAATTTCGGCTGTATCTAATAATTTTGTCTAATTTTTAATTTACAAGATAAGGATAGTGAAGTAATAAAAATAGTATGTGTATATATATATATATATATATACATAGGCTGATGGAAATACGTTGAAAATTCAATTCATTAATACTTATACGCGAATGATTAGACGGGCGTACTTTCTTAAAAATAAAGCTTTAATGGATGGTCGATGTAATAAATTAAATTTACAAATTATATAACGAATATTATTAGACGATAATTTAGACAAATGAGACGTGCCGACTTTAAATTATATGTTACAATTAACCGCGCGCTATTTATACAGATTAATGAAAGAGCACATGGGCATGGGCGCAGAGCAGAGCTCTTTCGAGAGTAGCTGTATGTTTGAAACTTGTGCGCTCTTTCGGGAGCACAAAGCAAGTTATTCAAATGAAGAGAGAAGACAGGGTCGGGCGAGCCCCTATGGCGTATTACCATACCGGTCCTTTTCTACTTACAGACAACCGCTTGACCAAAACGACTGGCAAGGTGATTCTCTACTATTCTCGTTTAACAAACGTTCCACCCCTAGTAAATCCTTTGCTTGCCGCAAGCTCGTCAATGGAATGGCTGTCGGAGCATCACGTACACGCGGAGCTTAACAAACTCGCGCCTTCGCCCGCGCGCACTCCCACGTACGTATACATATTAAGGCTTTTAATTACAAGAGCGCGAAGCGCCGAGGGTGGGGTGAGAGATTCGCGGATTTGTGACGGCCGGTGCCTGGTTTATCACTTGGGATGCTGCTTAGGCAGGTGGCGCTTCATGTGGAGAGCGAGGTGGTCGCTCCGGGCGAAGGATCGCTCGCAGACTGCGCACTTGAAGGGCTTGGCACCGGTGTGCTTCCTGTAGTGCCGTGTCAGCTCGTCGCTGCGAGCGAACCGCCACTCGCACTCCGGCCACTGGCACTGATACGGCTTCTCACCTGTAAAAGATATCTCTTTACTAATCGCCGGCTTTTACAGCAATTCGCACTCTTCCGA